ATTTACTTGGGCTGGGCTATGAATGAAAGGAAATTGGGGGCCTCCCTGGTGGCGCAGCGGTTGAGCGCTGGGTTGCGAAGCTGCCCGCAGCCTCTGCAGCGCTGGTTTGATCCCCGGCTGCTCCCCGGCCACCGGAGGAGGGTCCCACATGGCGTGCAGACCTCTCCTGCCGCCCGCTGCTCCCCTCAGCAGTGTGCTTCGGTCCGTCTGCCTGCTCTGCTCCCCGCTCTGGCTCTGGTGAATTCTCTCACCCTCCCGCATTTCTGACTATACCCAGTGCTTGCTTGAATAAATAAATAAATAAATAAATAAATAAATAAATAAATCTTTAAAAAAAAAAAAGAAGAAAGGGAATTAGATAAGAATACTAACAGTTGTAACTGGCTTTTCACTTATTCTTGGGTGAAGGAGAGACTGAGTTTGATTCGGTGCTAGGTAAGAGATCTTAAACTTTAGTTTTGGGTGCTTCAACGATAGAATTTGCAGTGGCTAAGCCCTGCTGTTGATTGTTGTGTTTTAAAACATAGTGTTGCTAAATGTTCTCTTTTCTAGCCCGATCTAGCATGACTATTGTGAATAATTCTGTCTCACTTCCTTCCACCTGGTTGTATGATCCAAATATGTACCAATTCCTTTTAAAATTTGCTATTTTAGACTTAGCTCCTTTTGTGTCATGTACTGTCTAAATCAGGGTCCAGCCCAGGTACTTCTGGCAGATCCAAGAAGAAGAAAGGAGTTTGTGAGAAAGAAAGGGAGGAGAAAATGAGCGCATATTGCAGTTAGTTCCTGGAATGTCTTCTGATTGGATAACTCTGCGGAGCCTTGTGCTGTGCTGATGCGCAGGGAATTGAACCCTTTGGGCAATGGGTGTTACTTTGGAGTTCAAGAATCTGGTTAATAGAGCTTGACTTCTATATACATCTTTGCTTCTGGGGTTTAAGGCTAATGTCCAGTGGCTTTGCACTAGATAATAGAAAAATGTATCATTTGTTCCCTTTTTGGAATCTTCTGAGAACCCTTATTAGGAAGGAAGGCTTTCTTTTCTGAGAAGGTTCCAAATCTACAGTCCCTGATCCAGTCCAAGGGGAGTAGTGAGCAGGAAGAGCTGAGGTTGCCGTCTTGGTCTGTTTGCTGCCAAGACTATTGTGTAATTCCTAGTGGTCCTCCTTTCATTCCCTAGGCAAGTAGGGAACTTTGCTCCCAGCACCTGCTGGTGCCTATCCTGCTCTTACAGGGTGGAGTCTGCTGCCCTTGATTGTTTTCAGAGTGCCTCTGAGGAAGAAGGGGATTTGTGGGGAATGGAGTTTGAAAAACTTTTAAAACAGTGGAAATGGGTGCTAGAGAGGGTGCTAGAGGATGGGGATGTGTCCTCAGGTAGTTCTCCAGGTGGGAATCTTCCATCGGTTGAATCCAGGCTGGCTATCAGATTGCCACGATGCTTTCTTTGTGATATGTCACATGTAGCTGAGCTGAGTATAATAGCAGCAGTAGCTTTAACAATCCCCAGGGCAGGCAGTGCCCCCCAAATGAAGAAACTTAGGGTAGGAATCTTAAAACCCCCATCACCCCTTCTAAACCCTTAGGTCCATACACAGTATCTTTCTGCTGATTCTCGAAGGCCTGAGCTTTGTCCTGTGGAGCTTTGGCTTGGGGCAGGGAGGAGGGTTGTTTTCCCGAACATGATAAGGAACTGAGCAGGGCAAAGTGGGAGCTCTGACTGGTGATTGGTAGACAGGATGCCCTGGAATGCGGTTGGCCTGCAGCCCAGAATCCAGCACTTTGTATTTGTTTGTTTCTGGGAGACTGTGGTCTGGTGCTACTGTGACAGGAAGTGAGAAAGCTGGGAGTGGGGGAACTGAGAGGGCGATGTCTTTGTGGTTCTCCTGTGAAATCTCTTTGTCCCTGGAGAGCGGCTCCGCTACAGGGCTCTGCTGAGAAGAGAGCCGCCTTTGTGTGTCTAGTGGGTCTCAGGGCTTCTCGCTGCTCGGAGGGATTAGGGGGTGTGAATTCTGACTGTGGCCTTTTGCATCTTAGCACTTGAGTTATATAAATGGCCTCAATCTCTTAACAGTGGGGATCTCACTGAGTTTTGTGGGTGCTACTATTATTTATAAATGATTTAGGATTTAATTAAAGGAGTTCTAGGAGGAGATAGAATCTTATGTATAGATAGATCTATGGCTATAAATCTGTAGATTGATAGATGTTTATTTACTGTGTATGTTGCAGATGCCTTGTTGGGTCTGAAAGGGCAAAGAGAAACAGGCAATGCTGGTGTCCTGCATTTTGGGTCTCACCCTTCCAAGTGGCACCCCGCTGCATACAGAGCTGCAGAAACCTACCCATTCTTTGAATTCACTCTGGGGAGATACTGGTTGATACTGCACTCAGCTAGGGAATAGCTGGTGGTTTCCTGGGATATACTACCCCTCTCCCTGTCTAGACTGAAGTAGCACCTGTAGAGCTCTTTGTTCCCCTCCCTCTTTGCTTCCCCCCCTTGTTTTGTGTTTTCCCTGCCCTCTATTCCAGCTGTGGAACAGGCATCTCTTCTCACTTTGTGGATTGGATAGCTGAGTCCTCAACTTCTTGCCAAGCTGGCTAGTTCCTGAGCACACACACAAACCGGTCTTTGATTGCCCAGGAGGACAGCTGCCCTAGAGGCAGATTGCTAACATACCGCTAGAACAATCCCTCCCCTCTGTTCCTATGCTGGCTAGCTCGGTCTTCCCTGCCTCTAGTTCCTTCTGTTTCCCACCCCAGCTCTGATCTCTGCTTTTTGGTTTAGTGAGATGTCACATTAAAACCGAGATTTTTTTAGGGATGTTTGTGACTAGATTTTATTTCTCGGTGGGAATGGTGAGAGAATGTACATGTAGCCAGATTTCTAGAGTAGGTTTTCCACTGGAAAGGTAGGTGATTTTGTATGAAGTACTACTTTCGTCCCTTTCACCTTCCCTCCTGAATTCTTATTCCTTATAAAATCTTGTTCCTTATACAATTGCAACAGTTTTTCCCCAAGATTGAGTAAGGTCCTGTTCTTTATCTTTTATCTGTTGTTGTTTTTTTTTTTTAAAGATTTACTTATTTATGCATACAAGAGCTGGGGTACAGGTCAGAGGTGTAGGGAGTGAGAGGATTCACCAGAGACAGAGTGGGGAACAGAACAGGCAGATTGACTGAAATACACTGCTGAGGGGAGCAGCGGGTGAGTTAGGAGAGGTCTTCTGCGCCATGTGGGTCAGCTCCCTGGCTGGGGATTGAACTGGTGCTGCAGTAGCTGCAGATTGCTTCATAGTGCTGATGCTTAACCCCTTGCGCCATCAGGGAGGCCCCAAACCTGCTCTTTAAAGTGAAAGTAAGATCCAAAGTTAGCTCTTTTCGTCCCCTGCTCTCTCACCATCTTGCCCTCTCTCCCCAAAAGTTTATTTCTGGGCAACTTCTCTGTTGGAGTTAGACTTTTAACCACGTGGCACGTAGATAGTTAATATTCCTTTCCCTTTCAAGGAGAAGGAACTTGGGCTTGGCGTAAAGCAGATGGATTCCCACCACTTCCTAGCTGTGTGACCTTGGGCAGGATACTGAACACTTCTGATGGACAGTTTATCCACCAATAAATGGGACCAGCATGACCCCAGGGGTTATCGATAGGTTGTGTTGATATGTCACATGTTGATATGTTGTATATGTGTGGTGACTTACAGGGGAGGATCAATAGTTAATAACTTGCAACTTTTCTTCCCCCTTGTAATGTCAGATTTTCTTCTAGAAAGGGAGAAGTATTTCCTATAGCTAATAAGGACCTTAAGAGATTTCCTCACAGATTTCAAACCTCCCTTACCCTCAGAAGGTGTAACAGGGTGGTCCCCAGGAAAGGGGGAGGTTCCAGGTTTCCTGCCCCATCTGTTACAAAGGGAGGAATTCTAAACCTAATGGAATGAGGTCTTGTTGCTGTTTCTTGGGTCTTTGGGGAAACAGGACTGTGTAGATGACTTGGTTACATGCTTTCAGCTTTTCCAAGTCATCTTTAAGTGAGGGACAAAGAGATGGGGGAGAGAAGCTGCCTCTAAAAAAAAGAAATGTGAGCTCAAACAGTTGGGTAACCTCTAGTAACTCTAAGATTAAGCTTTTTTTCCATGAATTTTTTCTTTCCTAGCCTAGCGTGGGGAAGAGTTTAGGGTGGAGAAGTGGCTGTTACAGGGCAGCCCTGATATTGAACGGGTTGCCTGGCTGTGGGTCCTCACCCGCGTGCTTACAAGGGACTTATTAATACTCCACTGCAGGCACACACAAAAGGTTAATAAGGGCCTCCCAGGTGGCGCAGCGGTAGAGCGCTGGGTTGCGAAGCTGCCCACGGCCTCTGTGGCGCCGGTTCGATCCCCGGCTGCTCCCCGGCCACCGGAGGAGGGTCCCACATGGCGCGCAGACCTCTCCTGCCGCCCGCTGCTCCCCTCAGCAGTGTACTTCGGTCCTTCTGCCTGCTCTGCTCCCCGCTCTGGCTCTGGTGAATTCTCTCACCCTCCCTCCCGCACTTCTGACTGTACCCAGTGCTTGTATAAACAAAACAAACAAACAAACAAAAAAATAAATAAATACATGCCTCTATTAAAAAAAAATCTTTAAAAAAAAAAAGGTTAATAAAAGGTTTATTTACAAGGGAAAAGGAAATAAGGAAAATGTACAACTCAGGGAGAAAATAGGGAAATAAAGTCTTTAATGCGTCCTACCCGATCCGCCGACCTGGAAACCCAAAAAGCACTTTCGGAGCTGGCAGGATGCTGCAAGCTGGCAGAGAGTCAAAATGGGGGACCCCTCCAAAGCCCATGTGTCTGGCTTTATACCAACCTGGCTGCTTAACCTCACCCTCAGGTCCCAGCCACCTTCCCTTTGGTGGGGATGGGATTTGGAGTTCCCAGTGTCTTTGGCTTTGGCCTGGGGTGGGGGTGGAGTCCACAAAGCCTGTATGGAATTAGCTTTAGGACATCCTTTTCCCCCTAACAGTCATGGGGCGCCAGCCCTGGGAGGGGGATTTAGAGGACCGGCATGTGCTTGGGTGCTGGTAACTTTAGGGTTTCTCCTTTATGGTACAAGAGTTAAAACAGTACCTTTGCCTGTCATGTAGACTTTCTCATTTCCCATGCTGTGTACCTGACCTTCTCATTTTCTCCCTCCTTTGGTAGGAAGAAGAAAGGCATTTGGCCTCTCCCCTTCCTCCAGTCTAACACCTCCCTCTGTTTTTTGCCCCTCCCTCTTATCTTTGTTTCCTTATCAACCTCTCCCTAAAGCTCTGCCTTCTCCTTATAAGGCTTGGCGAGGCGCCTTTGGCAGGGTTGCAGCGGAGATCCAGGTAAGTTACTCAGTGCGGCTCAGACTTCTCAGGAGTGAGAGGAAATACAGTGTTATCTGTCCCAATGGAGGGCCTTGGGGAGGCACGTGGTTAGTGGGGGAGGAGAAGAAGGCCGCCTGGCCTGAGAGATCAGAAGGACTCGTTAGACCAGTCCTGCGTGTGTGTCATGCCTGCTCCAGAGAGAAGCAGGTTTTGTTTCTTTCCGGACCCGTTTGGTCTTGGGCCCCTCACTAGCTGAGAGCCACGCCCTTCCTTTGCTTCAAAGGCAGCCCAGCATTTAATCATTTTAGTAAGTTATGGTTTGGGGCTTCCCAGAATACTTGGGAGAGACAAGGAGAGCAAGAAGGATGTTCCATCTGGTTCCTGAATTTAGAGTCATGGGGGCAGAGGTGATTGTATGTGCCTGTATATATGTGCGCGTGCATTTTAAAGTCATTGTAAAAATCTTGAAATCCTAATGTAACAGGGTGGTAACTTTGGGTTAGAATTCTAAAACTGAAGTACGTTGAGATGTCCTATTGAGAGTGCCAGCTCAACCTCCTTTTAACAAGGAATATTAAAAGAAAACAAAAATACTTTTATATATTTATTTTAAAATCCTTCTTTTCTCTGAAACCCTGTAATCAAGTAAAGTGTATCCCCCTTTCCTAAGAGGGGGGTGACATGCCAGAGACTCCATTCATCAGAGATTTCATGGTGGACACAGTGAGACCCAGTCCTTTCTTTTTGTGAACATGTGACTCCTCCAGTCAGCCTTCTGGGTGCTGTGAAGGGGAGAAGCTGGGCCTAGCACAGAGCAGATCCAGGGGAGGTACAGAAATCGCTAATATCCAAGGCCAGGCCATCTTCAGAATATCAATCTTGTAACTCTGGAAGGGCTCCGTAGAGATGAGTTGGTTAAAAGAACAGAGGACTGTTAGGTCTAGATGCAGATTTTGTCCAGGGACTTGGGATCAGCATGGGAGTGAGTCTTACCGGTGAGAGAGCAAGATTAGAATTGTTCTGAGTGAGCTTAATTGGTGGCACAGCGGTGGTGGGTGGGGTGTGTAGACTTTGCACTCTGGTCCAAGCGCTCTTTGTGATAAAAAGCCTCAGAAAAACTATCGACGGTTTGAAAATAAAATTGCAGTTTTCTCTGAGTGTGTAATGTATGTGGTTGAACAGGAATAATCACTTTGAATTTGAGGCAAATGCCAATAAAGGCAAATAAACACCTTTTAGGTGTATAGGAGGCTGGAATGCTGTGTAATAAAGTTCTGTGAGGTAGTTTTCAGTAGGAGGTTCAGTGTACATTTTTGAAAAAGCCATTTGAAATCTCTTGAGTGACATGGAAGGGGAATTTTGCTTATCATTGCTTTTAGAGGGTGAGATATATTTGTGAGATTGGTTTTGATTTCATAATGAATAAATAGATGAAAGGCGGAAAGCTGGTTGCAGGAGATAACATTTCTTTCCCGAGAACACAAAGATGATTTCGTGGGATTCAGAGTTTTAGAGTTCTCTGTCTCCGTAAAAACAATTTCTCTTTTTTCTGCAGAGACTTGCTTGCCTAATTCTGTTCATGCCTTTGGATATACTTAATCTGAACTGCATGGAGGTAGGGGACAGGTTCAGAGTTACACATTAGCCCATTAAAGATATACTCTGAAAAGCAACAAAAATTGAAGCTTGTGGTTTATAACCTTTCCCAAGTTTTTGGCAGAACCAAGACTTGAGTCCCCCAGGTCTTTTGATCCCCTAATTTAGAGTTTGTTTGTTTTCCCTTTAAGAGTGTGAAGAATTCCTGTAATTTATAGGGCTCCCTTAAATGAGAGAGAGAGCATGTAGAACAATTCAAAAGTCCTACCAACACCACCAAAACTCTAGTGTTGCCATGTTAGCTATTTGTAGCAGTGTTTGTAACAATATTACTAGCTTTCTGTGTGTCAGGGCATTTTTGTAAGCATTAATGTGGATTGTCTCATTTAATCTTCTCAGACACCTTTTGTATTTTATTTCTCCCATTTTACAGAAAAGGAACCTGTGGTTTAGAGAGATTAGGTGGCACTTTGCCTAAAGTCTTATAGCCGAGAAGTGGTGTCGGTGGAATTTGAACTCATGCCAGTCAGATTCCAAAGCCTATGTCCTTAACCTCCAGGAATTGTAATTCCAAGTTAATTTCTACAACCAGTTTACAGTAAACAGATCATTCCGGGGACTGTGTTATTGTCAAGTGATATTTTTCCCCCCTCTACTACCTAGTTCACTTTGTCCGACTATTTGATCTTTCTGGGTATTGGTTTCTATTTAATGTATTTTAGTTGGAATTCTTACAGGAGAGTGAATTTTTTAAAAAAGATTTATTTATTCATGCATGTAAGAACTGGGGTGTAGGCCAGAGGTGCTTGGTGAGGGGGAGGTGAGAGAATTCACCAGAGACAGAGTGGGGAGCCGAACAGGCAAATTGACTGAAATACACTGCTGAGGGGAACAGCAGGCGAGACAGCCGGGCGTAGAACTTGCCCTACAGTGGCTGCTGACAGCTTCATAGTGCTGAGACTTAAACCCTTGTGCTACCAGGGAGGCCCGGTAGAGTGAATTTTTAACCATCATCATTGATTGAATGCGGGAGCCTTGCTATGTAGACTCATACGTCTTAGCACCCATGTCTTGTTAAATAAGATTAAAGCCAGTTAATCTCAGAAAATTGGGTCTTAGGGGAATAGTGAGGTTCACTTTATGTGCCTCCACTTCCCTATGAATTTCTTTCTTTTTTTTTTTTGAATAAAGTGTGTTTTTTAAAAAGATCTATTTATTTATCTCTCTATTTATCTCTATCTATCTATCTATCTATCTATCTATCTATCTATCTATCTATCTATCTATCTATCTATTTATACAAGCACTGGGTACAGTCAGAAGCATGGGAGGGTGAGAGAATTCACCAGAACCAGAGCGGGGAGCAGAACAGACAGATCGACGAAACACACTGCTGAGGGGAGCTGCGGGCGGCAGGAGAGGTCAGCGCGCCATGTGGGACCCTCGCCGGTGGCCGGGGATCGAACTGGAGCTGCAGAGGCTGCGGGCAGCTTCGCAGCCCAGTGCTTAACCGCTGCACCACCAGGGGAGGCCCGTGTGTTTTTTTTTTTTAAAGATTTATTTATACAAGAATTAGGGTACAAGCCAGAGGTGTGGGAAGGTGAGAGGATTCATCAGAGACAGAGTGGAGAGCAGAACCGGCAGATGGGCCAAAATACACTGCTGAGGGGAGCAGTAGGAGAGATAGGCGAGGTCTGCTGTGCCCTGTCGGTATCTCTCTGGCCAGCCGGGAATGGATCTTGTGCTACAGAGGCTGTGGACAGCCTCACGGCGCTGTGCTCACCCCACTGTACCACCGGGAAGGCCCTCTTTTTTTTTTTTTTTTTTTAAGATTTACTTATTTATGCATACAAGAGCTGGGGTACAGGCCAGAGGTGCAGGGGGGTGAGAGGATTCACCAGAGACAGAGTGGGGAGCAGAACAGGCTTATCTACTGAGATACACTGCTGAGGGGAGCAGTAGGCGAGACAGGAGAGGTCTGCTGCGCCATGTGGGTCAGGTCATTTGGCGGGGATTGAACTCATGCCACAGTGGCTGGAGATAGCTTGATAGTGCTGAGACTTTAACCCCTGTGCCACCAGGGAGGCCCTGTAGCAGACTTTTTTATGAGGTATATGATGTGGGGAATTTTTCCTCAAGTCTCTTGAGTGACAGGGCAGTGTGTGGGGCTTACCTAACAGCTTCACTCTCTTCCTGCTACTTTTAATTCCCCACACATTTCCATTCTTCCACTTAAATCTTGTATGTAGCATTATGAATACTCCTTTAACCTAAAGAAAAATGGAAAACTTTTCTTTCCCCCTTTTCCTGTGATGTTTGGGAAGAAGGCACTTAAGGGTTGTAGAGGATAGGGGTTGGCCCACCTGTCCTCTCCAGAACCTGGCAGCATGCAGTAGGGTGAGAACACAGGCTGTGGGATGGGACAGACCTGAGTTTAAGTTCAGAATTGCTATTAACTAAGACCTCGAGTAGCTTCACCTCGGGCCTGTTTTCTCATTTGCAGTAAAATTTAATTCCTTAGGGTTGTTGAAAGGATTGCCAGGCTAATAAATGTAAAACATTCAGTAATTGTTGGTTCTTTTCACCTTCCCTTTCTACTTGGTATTAAACTGCTAAGGCCTGAAATCAGGACCCGAGAACTTACAATAGATGCACAGTGCTATGTATGATGCCCGACTAGGCAGTCGAGAAGCACTGTCCCGGAAACACTGGTCTAGGTGGGACTTCCTAATAGAGCCGGAGCAGGGAAACCAGCTCATCCACTCCTCAGAACCCAGTTATGCTTTTGATTCAGTTAATTTCATCTACTAGTTCACAAAATAGTTTTGGGCTGAGACATTACCATTAAGTAATGTAATTGGAAGATAGAAACTAACTCTTGAAACAACTTAATACCTCACATTTGTATACCATACATTATCTCATCTGGGTCTTGAAGCAACTCTGAGTTAGCCTGGCAGGTGGTATTGGTTCTCCTCTCACAACAATGGCTTCCTGCCATTGTTGACTAGTGGCAGATCCAGAACTGGGACTGGTCTTCTGAGTTCTATTTTGTTCTACACAGCCTCTGTCTCTGCCCTCTTTCAGGTAGAAAACGCCCTATGTTTTTAGCTCTAAGAATCTGATTTCTTATTCTTCTTAATTGTGCTGTCAGTCATCTCCAAATTAGAACCAGGTGGTCAGCTTTTAAAGTGTGAAGATGGGAGAACTTACTGCTCCTGACCTAGAGCCCTGTAGTTTTGCAACTAGCTTTCCTAACTCCTTTACTGAATTCAAGTTGTGGGGGCAAAAATAAGAAGGGTAGTAGGGTGACAATTTCTCTGTGTAGCAGGAGTGTCGTCACCGTGTGCCCCACCGTAGTGGTAGTTTGGGTTTTTATTAGCAAAGATTACAGGGCAGAGGCTGCCAGAGTGGTAACTGTAGTTCAGGCCCTGTTGAAACTGAGAGCTCAAAGGATTGCTTGAGCTCAGCGTTCTCTTGGTGTGTAGGTCCATAGGTCATGATACATAGTGAATAGGGGCAAGTGTTTACAGTGATGAAATGGGAATGAAAAGGGAGCAACATTTTTTTTTTTTAAATAAGGAGACTTATTAAAGACCTTTGAGTAGCCCGTTGGAAGATAGGGTGGGAATATAAGAAAGTGAGAGCTTTCTTTGGGCTTTGGACTGAAAGGAAAGACAGGAGTTTATAAGTGACCGTGGGCGCCCAGAGCCTGGGTAGGAGGAATTTAGAAAAGGACCGCCATGCTCTTGGATTTAGAGACCAGATCCATTGGAGGAGCCTTAGCGGTGGAGAATTAATTAGGGAGTTAACTGGACACCTGTTCATCGATTCCTCTGGGTTTGCTGGCTGAATGCTGCATATACTTTGAGGCAAACAGACCCAAGCTCTGGTGCTTGGTGGGGCTGTGGGGAGCGTGGGAAAGGAAACTGAAGCAAAAGACTCAGCCTAGGCTAGTCCCCACATGTCTTCCCCACTACTATTGCATTGGTTTCTAATGTCTTTGTGGGCATGCTGGGACTGGGCTTTGAGGTGTCTGCCATAGGGGAGAAGGAGGGGGAAGGGCATTCCCAATAGCAGTCCCCCCCCCCCCAATTTGGTTTGCTGGGAACAGGGGTAAATGGATTTTTATCCATATTTTAACCTGGTCCTGGTTCTGTACAAAAAGACAAGTAGAGGAGCTCTGATGTCAGTAGAATCTAGGTTTTAAAGAAGACTATGTTTCCAGGTATCTGAAAGCAGCGCAAAGTCCAAAGGGCATTTGTCACGTTAAGCAATTCCAAGTCATATTATAAATTACTCCCTTCCATTCCCACATTGTCTTTCTACCATTACTTACCCTCGCTCCTCTTATTTTTTAATGTATTGGGTGTATTTTATTTTCCTCTCATTCCCATTTTTCCTCCAAATATTTCTGCAGCTCTCTCCTTCCTGCTTCCTCCTTGCTGTGGTGGCTGGGATGCTTCTCACATGACTTTTTGAATCTAGACTGGGCTGTTCTCTGTTAAGCCAATCAGTTGCGACCTTCTCTTAACAGGTGTGTATGGAAATGTTTATTAAAAATACATTTTTTAAGTGCCTTTTTTTTTTTAGGGGTTGATGAGTGGGTGGGGAATACAGGAGACGGTTTATTCTAAAACATGTCTTGCAACATGGTATATTTTGACCACAAAACCTCCCATAGTTGTAAGGGAGAAACACAGCATTAAGTCCAACAGTGTGACTGCTGTGCTCCCCATTTACCAGTCAGCTTGCATTTTAAGAACAGGTTATGGGGAGCACTTCATTTCCATATAACTGTCATTTATGGTATCATGACTACACGTAGGCCCCCTAGATTCTTGGGTATTTATCCTGAGTTAGAATAAGGGGGTGAAAATATGGCCTCTTTAGAGCTTTCTGCGGGATAACAGAGATGTGGGAGGTTTCAGCCACTGACCGAAGGTTAGAGTATGAACTGCTTTGAGGCCCAGTTTCAGAGTTTGAGCCGAATGCTCTCTTTTCTACTCACCAAGAGCTGAAACCCTAAAAACAGTGCATTTTTAAACATGGAACTTTTTGTGGTTCTATTGCTCTATTACCTCCACTAGCCAGGGAACACTTATTTTACCCTCAATGTTGTAGTGTAATTTTGAAATACAGAAGGATTCCTTCATGAATATATTCAATATGAAAACCTTAATTTTGTTTCCTGCCTTTGATGGTGGGTTTTTTACTTCTTCCATGTCTTCTTGGCATTTGGAATCTAGTGTGTTTATTTAGTAATTTTGCCACAACTGCAGCAATTTCAGTGTTCAGACTGGGGAGAGGGCAGATCTATAGGCACCCCCCCCACCCCATCTCTGGACATGGCTTTCCCTGGTAGGTCAGTGAATGATTGTCTGTCTGCAGTCACGACCTTCATTGACTTGATGCCAGCACATTTTTCCAGGGAAAAATAATTCAATTTTAATCTCATGTCCTGCCTGTAGCCCCGAGACACATTCTCCCTCTCTACCAGCATTGAGGAGAGTTGGGTCTAGTGTGCTTTTCCTCTCACTAGTACTGCTGGTGGGGTGTTAAAGCGGGTTCAAGGACCCTGCTTGAGCAGATCCTGGTGATGGGCTCCCGGGCTTGGTGGTGGCTTGCTTTCTGCATGCACTAAAACCAAGAGAGGGCGTCCTTGGCTCTGGGATTAATAATTCATCTGTCTTCTCTGACCTGTGACCTTTTCTCTCCTCTCTTGCCTTCTCCCGGTAGTGTGACGTGAGGGGGTCTTCTCCCTCCTCCCTCCTCCCTCTGTGATCCACCTTCTTTTTTACCCTGCCCTGTGGCGGCTCCGCCCCTTACCTTCATGGATGACTCAGAGGTGGAGTCCACCGCCAGCATCTTGGCCTCTGTGAAGGAGCAAGAGGCCCAGTTTGAGAAGCTGACCCGGGCGCTGGAGGAGGAACGGCGCCACGTCTCGGCGCAGCTGGAACGCGTCCGGGTCTCACCACAAGATGTCAACCCACTCATGGCCAACGGCACCCTCACCCGCCGGCATCAGGTAACCCCTCTCTCCATCAGACCTGCAGGTAGGACTTTAGCATCATCATAGAGAGGCTATGATCCTCCGGGGGATATCGCTATCCTCATGGGCTGCCCTGTGCCCATGCTTCATGATGGACCTTTCTGGGGTGACAGATTACTGACTTAGAGATAGGCAATATTGCTGCTGTGCTCAGTAGGGTGGACTTGTCCCCAGTGGCATCCACTGGCTTCCTTTTTGCTGGAGTGGGGTTTCTGGGTTGGGATGCAATTCTAGTAACGACAGATTGTGTCATTTGGAGCTATGCTCATGTTATTTCTGTTTTCTCATTATTTTTTCCCCGCCTTGATATAAAAAAATTCAGGGAAGTAAATGCCCCTTAGTGGTTGGGGAAGTTAGTGTCTGTACTCAACTCTAGTTCAGTCTCCCTTAGGGAACAGTATGTTCTTAGGTGTGGCAAGGTCAATAAATTGTGTATTCCCGCTCCATATTGTCCTTGCGTACTCTTTTTGTTGGCTGTGCATCATGTCTTGGAGGAAGGGGTCATTGTTAATTCTGTTGGTTATAGTTGGAGAGGGAGCATCGTGCTGCTGTTCAACCCAAATAACCACAGGAGCCAGTGGTCTCTGGGTTGGCTGGCTCTGCGATGTGATTTGGGAGAGTTGGTGTTAGAAATGAGAAGTATCTTGTATTTCCTATGGTTTCTCTAGTCTGACTTTGCTGTGATACAATCTGTCTGAGGTTTGTGTGTGTGTGCTAAGCATTGCCGGCTAGACCGCATCTTCAGAGGTCCTGACGGGAACCAAGAGCTGTGCTCATGCTGCTACAGTCCTTCTCCTTATCACTTATTTATGTTTTACGGCAGAGAAGGTCCCTCATGCTGAGGAGCATGTTAAGTGAGAGGACAAAATTCCAGCTGGGGGATGATCAGGACTTTTGGAGGCAGTGTGCTTGCAGTGTTTCTAGGATTATTACAGGAGCCAGAGAGAGGGTTAGGGGCGAGAGGTATCTATTGAAAAGGGAGAGTAGGACTGCTCAGACTTGGAGATGGTGGGGAATTCCGGGATTTTCTGTCTCTTTTTTATTTTTAACTTCTGCTCAGCTATGAAACCACACCCTACCTTCTTCCTGAAAGTAATGTTGAACTTCCTCTCCCTGCATTACACTCTCTGTGCAATGTGAGTTGGTGGGGGGGCATCTCCCAAGGTGGCTGGATCTTACTGTACTCTATTGGAAGAGGAGCGGTCAGAGGCACTTTTACATGGTACGTTATTAGATTATTCCCTTCTGTTTAAGTGTGAACAACTTAGGGATGACGTTTTTGAATGTATTGTTCAGTGACTCTATTAATGGGTGATAGAGATGTTGAGGGGTCTGTTTGCTTGAGGGGAGTTGGGGTACTTGTTATCTTTCTACGTGGAAAGGGAGACTAGTAGTTCTTGTTTCTTTCTCTAACAATCTGCACGGTATGGGTGTTTCCAGTGGTAGTTGAACGTGAAGATACACGGACAATTAAAGAAGGCCTTTCGACGCCTGCTGTCCTCACACGCCCAGCCTTTCCACCTGTCCTTATATTCTTACGGCTTTCCAAAAAGATTGCATGTTGGGGAGTTTATCTGCATCTCTGTTGTTATTCCACAAGTAGTTTGTGATACATCATTGAACAAAACTGACCAGAAAAACCCTGCAAAACCTCACAAACCCCTGCCCTCATGGAGTTTGCCTTCTTATGTTCCAGAGACCCAGTCTGCCAGAGTTCCAGGCCTGATAACAATTTTGAGCAAAGTGCTAATAAGGCTAAAGAGTGATATGATTCTTTTATGAGTACTGACAGGAGGACTCCAGGCTACACATATCTTCTTGAAAACCCTTTTCCTGTTTGGAAAAAAAGGTCATTTTGTGTTTGATAGAGCAGAGGAAGACCACAAAATTAATTGTCTTCTTGTGGGCTGTGTTTCAGAACGGCCGGTTTGTGGGCGATGCTGACCTTGAGCGACAGAAATTTTCAGATCTGAAACTCAACGGACCCCAGGTAATTCTTTTGGCTCAGCTTCCTGGCTGCTTCATTTGTATCTTCTTTATTCCCAGCCTATAAGACAAATTGGTATCTCTTAAATGCCCAGTGCATTGTAAACACCCGTTAACTTCTTTCATTTAAGAAAATAAAAAAGTGAGGCTTCAAAGTATATATGTAGTTTTATATTAGACTGGATTTCAGTATCCATTGGTCTAGTTTTTGATCCTTCAATTTCTGCCTCCCTGTTCTAGAATGGGTGTGGTTCCGTTGTTCAGAAACCCGGCTAATAGTGACAGGTCCTGTGCCTTAGTCAACTCCTGAACAGTAGCATAGAGCCAATCAGAAAATGGCTCTCACTGGGATTGTCTGGTTCATCATAAAAGTTCTTTATTGGGTGAACTTATTTGAAGGATCACTGAGTTGTAGATGTAGCTGCGGTTAACAGAGTTCATCTTCACTTAGGTAACCAGAACTGGGAAGTGAATCTGCTGTCTCTGTCATCAAATGTTGATGTGACTCTAGTTAAATCAATTCATATTTGTTAAGTGACTAGAACTGGGAAATTAATATCTTCTGTCCTTCTGGACAAGATCAGAAGATGGGGACAGCTACCCCTCTTGAAAGTCCTGGACCCACAGAAGATGTATGAGGAATTTGTCTCCAGGGAGATAAGGCTTCTCATTGGAGTGGTTGGTGAATATGGGTGACTTAATAAGAGCTCTTTCCTTTGCTTCTTTTCTATATAGGAGCACAGTCACCTTCTGTATAGCACCATTCCCAGGATGCAGGAACCAGGGCAGATTGTGGAGACCTACACGGAGGAGGACCCAGAGGGAGCCATGTCTGTTGTATCTGTGGAGACGTCAGATGACGGAACCACTCGGCGCACGGAAACCACAGTAAGCTAAGACTGGTGTAAGGTCTGCAATGATGGAGGAGGTCCTCCTACAGCCACATCTACATCTATTAGGGGAGAGGCGAATGGGTTAATTAGGGTGAATGAAGGGCCGCTGATGTGTGGCGAAGGCATAAAGAAAGTGATCTCCAGCCAGACAGAGAAGATAGAAGAGATGTGGGAAGCCTAATGGAGTAGGGAAGAAAACAGGTATGTCAAGGTGTAGCTTCCCTTATAGCTACAGTTGCTGCCAGGGCAGCCTTCCTGCCTGGGCACTTCTTCTAAGGGAGAGAAGGGTAGCTAGCTTGTAAAGGTCAAGTGAGCTGAAGGTCGGGGGTTCTTCCTTGGAGTCATCTAGAATTTAAGCTTACAGGCTTCACCCCATTAATTTTTTCTTTTCCTGTTTCCTTACTCGCAGGTCAAGAAAGTCGTGAAGACTGTGACCACACGGACAGTACAGCCAGTCCCTGTGGGGCCGGACGGGCTGCCTGTGGACCCCTCGTCTGTCTCCAACAACTACATCCAGACTCTGGGTCGTGACTTCCGCAAGAATGGCAACGGGGGGCCTGGGCCCTTCGTGGGCCAGGCAGGCACAGCCACCCTTCCCAGGAACTTCCACTACCCGCCTGACGGCTACGGCCGCCACTATGAAGACGGTTATCCAGGCAGCGGCGACAACTATGGCAGCCTGTCCCGGGTGACCCGCATTGAGGAGCGGTACCGGCCCAGCATGGAAGGTTACCGGGCTCCGAGCAGACAGGACGTCTACGGGCCCCAGCCCCAGGTTCGGGTCGGTGGGAGCAGCGTGGATCTGCATCGCTTCCATCCAGAGCCCTATGGGCTGGAAGACGACCAGCGCAGCATGGGCTACGACGACCTGGACTACGGCATGATGTCCGACTATGGCACTGCCCGTCGCACGGGGACCCCCTCTGACGCTCGCCGACGCCTCAGGTGGGCATGGAGCGGGGAAGGAGAGGGGCTTGGCAAGACAGGGCAAAGGGCTGCTGGCTCTTCCTTCTTCTGAGTGCTTTTTGGGATCCGAGGCCCTTGTCGCCCTTGTGCCTTTGTTCATGGAAGACCACCTGTGCTTCCCTTTTCTGATTTTACTTAGTATCAACTTGGTTTTTTGTCTGTTTTAGACTTTTCATTATAAAAATCATATGTTCTGACTACAGAAAATGGCTTTTACTGGCTATTGGTTTATGTCCTAAAGAATGGCCCTTTTTACTATTTCTAGGATTGTCTCCCTTTTGGTAAGAGGGAATATCTCAGAGGACCCCCAGTCCTGGGGTATGGAATACTGACTCATTCCTGTGAATTTCTCCAACTTCTGGGTTGCTATTAAGAACAGAGTTGAGGTTTTCAGGGTTTCGGGGCCTATAGATTCAATGTACTCAGTTAAGGAAGTTTATAGGACCCTCTCTGTGGTGATTTTAATTTCAAGTTAAAAACAAACCTTGCTCTCACAAAAGCCTAAGCACTCTTTCTCAAGTTTGCTCTGGGAGGTCTCTGAGCAGCTGTGAGCAGCTGCCTACTCGGACTTCACCCCTCACCCCTGGGGATTCTCTGGTGATGTGAAGAAGGAGTGATTGATGTCAGGACTGGTGGATGCTACTATGCCTTGAGAGAATGCTCTAGAATGGGAGTTGGTAAACCTTTTCTGTAAAGGACCAGATAGAACTATTTCAGGCTTTGCAGACTGTGTCATTTTTGTTGTGTTGTAATCATTGTTGTTCTTTCTACAACCTTTTAAAAATATAAAAACCATTCTTAGTTCTGGGGTTAGCTAAGTTTTTTTAAGACGGCTACTACAAAAATGGATTTTGGTCTATGGGCTGCCAACCTGGCTTTAGAGTAAACCAGAGAGTGTTTTCCAGGCAAAGAGCAAGGATGAAAAATAAGGGAGAAGTTTATGGTTGTCTTGATGGTAAGGATATCCTAGCAGCTATTGCTGCATTTCTGTATTTGGGGTTGTGACCTTCTCAAGCAAATACCTTGGTGCTTATTTTCCTCATATATTAGGTAGCTTTGGTTAACAGTGAATCGGGTTGGGCCCAGCGGTAGAGGCCCCATTATCTAAGCCTGAGTCAACTCACCTTTCAGGTATCTTTGAGACAGTTGATCCAACTCCCATATGACTCACCTTTGATTCCTGGGAGGTGGGGAGGAACTGCGGGGGTGACAGGCCCTAGACCTCAGCTGGTGCAGGCTGGAGTTGTGGTAGATAACAGCTATCACGGAGTCTGCCCAGGGTGTTGGCTTCTTCCCCTTGTTGACCAGTCTGCTTTTTCTGACTTTCCCATGAGTAGGGTGATTGCACCTGGGTGGATACTGGTGGCCAGATCATTCTCTGCTGTCCGTAGCTGAGGCGGCTGACATAAAGAGACAGGGCTTTGGGCCTGGTTCTTGGGTTTGTTCCAAGGTGGCACTGGACTTAGAAACCTGCTTGACTAGCAGGAACATTCACTGCTTCCTGTTCTGGGCCTAAGAGAGTAATACAAGGTCAAACTGAAACAGTAATGCCTAGTGATTAATGGGAAAAGCATTGAACCAGAAGACCTTGGTTCTAGTTATACCTTTGCTACTCGCTGTGTAGCCTTGTTAAGCAAATCATTTCATCTTTTTGGGACCTGCTGTTATTTGTAAAACAAAGAATGTCATGATTGTTTAAAAAAAAGGGGGGGGGGAGTAAAAGGTAGATTCCTCTACCAAAACTTGGTTGATACTTGTTTTTTGGAATTGTTTATATTGAACTAATAGTACACCAAACTAGAAAAATCCAGAAAAGCAATCAATACCACACATTGATAAAGAACTACTGTTAGGGCCTCCCTGGTGGCCCAGCGGTTGAGCGCTGGGTTGCGAAGCTGCCCGCAGCCTCTGCAGCGCCGGTTCCATGCCCGGCTGCCAGGCGAGGGTCCCACATGGCTCGCAGACCTCTCCTGCCACCTGCTGCTCCCCTTAGCAGTGTATTTAGTCAGTCTGCCTGTTCTGTTCTCTGTTCTGGCTCTGGTGAATTCTCTCACCCTCCCGCGCTTCTGACTGTACCCAGTGCTTGTGTAAATAAATCTTTAAAAAAAAACAAAACTACTGTTAATGTTTTGATACATTTCCTTTGAGCTCTTTTTCCTATGCATGTAAACACACGCTGACTTTATTTTCCCCTACTAAAATGGCATCTTACTTAATGCACTACTTAGGAGCCTGTTAAAAAACTTAGCTATCTAACCTGCACATTTTGTTTGAATGTTACTAAACAGGGAGTTTTTACTTGAAGCTTTGTCCATCCAAATCACTGTTGAGAAGTCCAACTGGAGGGAGGCCCTCTGCATTGGCTAACCTTGAGGGTTTGCTGACAGTGGGTGTGGCTTTGTGGAACAAACAACAGGCGTATTTGGAGAGTACCACACAATAGATTTTCCTCTCCTGTGGGAGCCAAAGAGAGATGAGCTCACAGATAAATGGGTCTCTTCCTGGTGGTTATGAATAAGTAATAGTGTGACAGACTCACCCTCTAGTGGTTGTTAGTAGTACTGAAAGAGGAAGGATTATTTCCGGTTAGACTTTTGTCTCTATCTTCATTTGTTTTGTCTCTTCCTTTTCTTAGTGACTGAGTCATTAAGATGGATAGTGACCAAGTCAGTGCTAGTCTTGAGTCACTTAGTAATGGAATCACTAAGTGTGACGGTGGTCAGTGGCCTCTATAACTTGACATGATTGAAGGTACAGGTTTGCTCCACTATCCAACAGTAGAGCATTCCAGTAAAATCTTTCGCAGGAAGAAACAATTACCATTAACTTACATGGATTTTTCTTTTTTGAGAATTCCTAGACCTGAATAAACACCTACAAATCATACCAAATAACATATAAAACACAACCATATAGTAAAAACAGGAATAATATGATAAATACACAGCCTGTAGAAAGTAGTTCCTTGGAAGGAGCTTGGTGGTGCCACTCTCACCACGGGAGGGGCGTGCTGCCTCTAGAACAGCTTTCCGCAAGACAAGCCTGAACAGTTCTTTATTTTATCTTTCATCTTTTGCCATAAAAGTGAAAATTCTCTTCAGATTTCCTTCAGTTAGCAAAAATAGATACCAGTGTAGATCTTTTATAAAGGAGAAGTGATGAAGTGTGAACTTTTGAAGAATGGGGGGGTACTTACCTATATCATCCTTAGAAACTGGAGGCTAGAAAGCATATCTTAAACACATTTGTTGGGTAAGAGACGGCCTTGGGACTGTTAACTGAAATAAAAATCTAAGTGATGGTTAGACAAAGTTTATTAGATAACCAAGGTGAGGATTAAAACTTAGGATAATAGTCTGACGGATTGACTCTGAAGAACTGCTCTGATAATCACACTTCTGAATTGGGTTCATTTACCTTGTTACAGAGTAGCCTTATATTGAAGAGGGAAGAAGGATCATAAAAATGTAACTATTCATGGGGAAGGGTCTTTCTGGGTGCTTGTTTCTAGGCATAGATCTTTTGATTTCTTAAGTAACCTGGACATAACGAAACATTGATGCTGCGTGTGCGCCTAGGAGGGCAAGTGGTAGGGTTTAATCATTGCCCTGACTTCTGAAGACTGTATTGTAGAGATGCAAAGCCTAGGTGTCCATTGTTAACATCTTTAGCTGGCTCCTTGGACCTGAGTGGAGACTGAAAGGTTAGTCTACCTGCAGCCATCAGATTCTTGCTTGGCTTCTCCACAGAAGAGAGCCTGCTCTGACATTCTGACTTTAAGCCTGTGCAGCTGACTTTGCTTGCTTGCCTGCCTGCCAGACTAGGGGTGAGGGGATGTCCAGATCATTCAGTCTGTTCATGGGATGAACTCTGAAAATCATTGTTCAAGCTTTACACCTCATCAGTACCAAAGCCAGATCCTCATATGATGTAGCAAGAAGTCCTGCCCTATGTTCACTCCATCAGCCCCTCTTTTATAATTTCCAAATTAAAGTAAGGAGAGATTTAACTATGAAGTATGTTTAAGTATCCCACAAGCTGTTTCCCGTGTGTAAATGCCTCATTTCCTGTCTCACTAAGGGCTTGTAAGGACTGTGCTCAGATTTGGTTTCCTGACCTCTGTGGCTTCAGTCAGTTGCTTTGGTTAATTCTGCTGTCTGAGGGTTCATTTCCGTCTCTAGCTAGAGAAGTTAATAGCTGTTAGGTCACATGCTACACACTCATCATTTGTTTTTCTATGTGTGTGAATAATGTGTGTCTCTCCAGTGCTTTTCACTCTCTGGGCTGGTCACGTTCACAGAAGGGCAAGTAGTTTTGCCCCAATGGCAGGTATCTTTTTTTTTTTTTTCTTTAAAGATTTATATTTATTTACACAAGCACTGGGTACAGTCAGAAGCGCAGGAGGGTGAGAGAATTCAGCAGAGACAGGGCGGGGAACAGAACAGGCAGAGTGACGAAATACACTGCTGAGGGGAGCAGCAGGCGTGGCAGGAGAGGTCTGCGTGCCATGTGGGATTCTTGCCGGGGGCCGGGGATCGATCTGGTGCTGCAGAGACTGCAGGCAGCTTCGCAACCCAGTGCTCAACCGCTGCACCACTGGGGAGGCCCAATGGCAGGTGTCTTTAATCTCATTAGGACAAATTGATGGGTATATCTTTTATGCAAAAAGAGAAACAAGAGCTAGTGTCCTAGATCTGGGTTACTCCTGTCTTGAAGATGGGGGCTGAGGGGAATGGCCAAGACACCAGCCTTGACAGTAGTCCTCTTTCTCTTGATTCTTCAACACTGCAGGAGCTATGAAGACATGATTGGTGAGGAGGTGCCATCAGACCAGTACTATTGGGCTCCTTTGGCCCAGCATGAGCGGGGGAGTTTAGCGAGCTTGGATAGCCTGCGCAAGGGAGGGCCCCCACCCCCCAACTGGAGACAGCCGGAGCTGCCGGAGGTGATAGCCATGCTTGGATTCCGCCTGGATGCCGTCAAGTCCAATGCAGCTGCATACCTGCAACACTTGTGCTACCGCAATGACAAGGTGAAGACTGACGTTCGGAAGCTCAAAGGCATCCCAGTCCTGGTGGGATTGTTAGACCACCCCAAAAAGGAAGTGCACCTTGGCGCCTGTGGAGCTCTCAAGAACATCTCTTTTGGGCGTGACCAGGATAACAAGATTGCCATAAAAAACTGTGATGGTGTCCCTGCCCTTGTGCGTTTGCTCCGAAAGGCTCGCGATATGGACCTCACCGAAGTCATTACTGGTGAGTTCTAGGCCTGGGGACTCTGCTGGGTTGCAGTTGCTGTGGTCTTCTGGTAAATGGCTGTGAACTTGTGGTCTTTGGGTCATATTCATCTCAAAGGATTGCTTGGATCATGAGATTTTCAAAATTTTAAAGAATTGGTTGCTAATTCCAGATTCTTGAATTCTGTTAGAAACATGCACGCCTTGGTAGCAGTGGGTCTTTTTCTTCTCTATTAGTAGTTGGGTTGAGCTGATTGGGACTCGTGCTGTCCACTTTGCAATAATCCCAAACCCATTCTCTATTTCTGACCAATTACTTCTGCCTTACAGGAAGCTGTCTTTGATATTGAGGCTGAGCATCAGTTGCTGTTTGTTCACATCCTTAAAATAACTTTTAAATATCTGTCCTGACTCACTTGCTTACTGTGTGTGGAGACATTGGAGCTTGTGGTCCTTGGTTTAGAAGAGTGGTTTTGCAAATTGTGGGTTGTGATTCATTCGTGTGTACCCAACACAGTTTTGTGGATCAGAGTCAGCATTCCAAGAGAAAGGGAAAAATAGCATGGTATAGACCCTTGGTTCTCAGCTGGGGCCGCTCTTTCTCCCTGGAGCATCTCTGCAGTGCCTGGAGGCATTTTGGTTGTCACACTTGGAGAGGTGGGGGTGGGGAGCGCTATTGATATCTAGTGAATAGAGAGGCCAGAGATAATGCTCAACATCAAACAATGGACAGGACAACTCCTATAACAACAAGGACTTACTGGGCCCAAAATGTCAGTGGTGCTGAGGCATCTGGAGAGCAGTGCTTATAGTCAGCATTGTTTTATGAGAGTTTATTTCATGATATGTCTGTATTGGGTCACAACATAAAATGTATTTCTTACCATGGATAAGAAACAAAAATTTGGGCATCCCTGGTGGCGCAGGGGTAAATTCTCAGCACTATGAAGCTATCGGCAGCCACTGCAGCGTGAGTTCGATTCCCGGCCAGGGAGCTGACCCACATGGCGCAGCAGACCTCTCTTGTCTTGCCCGCTGCTCCACTCAGCAGTGTATTTCAGTGGCTCTGCCTGTTCTGCTCCCCACTCTGTCTCTGGTGAATCCTCTCCCTCCCTCTCCCCCCTCCCACTCTGCCACCTCTGGCTTGCACCACAGTACTTGTATGCAAATAAATAAGTCTTTAAAAAAAAAACAAAAAAACAAAAATTTGAATATCTTTACAAGGTATTTGGTCATTGGAGAAGACCAATAGATGATCGATTGTTTTTCATGTTCCTCAGCCATTATTGACTTGGGTGTTGAGAGCTATCTGATGAGTCATCTCTTTTAGGAACCCTGTGGAATCTCTCATCCCATGACTCGATCAAAATGGAGATTGTGGACCATGCACTGCATGCCTTGACAGATGAGGTGATCATCCCGCACTCTGGTTGGGAGCGGGAGCCTAACGAAGATTGTAAGCCACGCCATATTGAGTGGGAGTCTGTGCTCACTAACACAGCTGGCTGCCTTAGGTAAGGTGGTCCTGGGGAGTATGAGGTTGAAATTTTGAGGACTGACTGAAATTTCTTTAAAAAAGAAAACGTCAGTCAGCCCACTTTCCTATCTACTTCATACATGACGCCAACCTGCCTTACATACCACACACACCTGCTGTGTCTGTTTACTGCGGTTCCCCAGGGGCCTCCACACTTCTGTCCTCTTTGGGACTCACTTGGCACACATTTGTTCAATGCCTGCCACAGATAAGGCATGTACTTAGTCACAGGCTTGTGCGTGCTTGTGTCCCTGCATTTTAAGTCAGGCTTCAGCGAATGCAACAGAAGAAGCACAGAGGGCCGAAGGGTAGGGGCAGGGGAGGAGAGCTGTGAGAAACTCCCTTCTCTTCTTTTGAGGCTAAACTCAGGTACCTTTATTTCATGAACGTATTCCTGATTTCTTCTTTGATGTATTCTTCCTTTCTGGAGTCTTTTGCCCCTATGTGCTCTGACCCATTCTTCATTTGTACTTCTGTGTAAGAAGTACCTATCCTGTCTTAAATTGCTGTTGGTATACTTTATATTCTCTGTGTGTTACAAACATCCTGAAAACAGGTCCCGCCTTCCTCAGCTTTCTCTCTGCTGTGCCTTGCTTATAACAGGTACTCGGTATTTGTTACAGTGAATAAGAGAAAGTATGAGGCTGTTTACAACCATTAAGGGATATTAAGGGAGAATTTCTGGCTTTGACTCTTCTTGAAGCCTCTTCCTTTTCCCTCAGAAATGTCAGCTCAGAGAGGAGTGAAGCTCGCCGGAAACTTCGGGAATGTGATGGTTTAGTGGATGCTCTCATTTTCATTGTTCAGGCTGAGATTGGGCAGAAGGATTCAGATAGCAAGGTAAGTCAATGGCTGAGTGAATCTCTGCACCACACTCTTGTGGTGCATGTAGTGCAGGCCTACCATCCCAGGCACTCAGCTACCCTTCGGTCCCCTTACTAGCCCCCATTCTCTGAAGTGGGTGTTCACTGTGGGAGAATGTTATTCTCTTAAGCATTTCCTTCGCCTACATAATATATTTTAAAGCTCTTTAGCCGAGGTTGTACATTTTTCTAAGTAGGAAACAAAGTTTTGTGTCACACACCAAATAGTGTCAGAAACCAGTATGTCCACACTCTGATCTTCCACTAGCCTGAAGCTGCAAGGGTTTTGAGAAGCACGGACACTGGAAAGGCATCGTGAGAGATGATGGATTGGGTCGTGCTTTGAGCATCAATATTTTAATACCTGGATCATGATAAAACCCATTATTGCAAGGAAACTGTTGTAGGCAGTCTCTCCTCTCACTGAGCCTTTCATCTTGTATCCCCAAGCTGGTGGAGAACTGTGTTTGCCTCCTTCGGAACTTGTCCTATCAAGTTCACCGGGAGATCCCACAGGCAGAGAAATACCAAGAGGCACCTCTCAGTGTCGCCAACAACACTGGGCCACATGCTGCCAGTTGCTTTGGGGCCAAGAAGGGCAAAGGTGAGTTTTGGTTCCGTGCTTGTTGCTCTTCACTGTGGGATGGGGAGTGGAGAGAACAGAATACAGCTTCAGGTGCAGAATACTTGCTGAGCAGTGCGGGCGCCTGCCGAGGCACGGCTGTCCTCTTGCTCTGCTGCTGCTCTTCCTGTGTTGTGCGCTTCGCTCAAGGAGGTGGTGGCGGCGGTGGTGGTGGTGGTTGTGGCATCAGCATCAGTGATTGGGGCTGTGAAGGACGAGAACTCAACTAATCTGGGACCTTCTCCCCCACTCCTCTTTTGTGCTCCTTGTTTCTCTTTTCCCCTCTGTGCTTTCCTGCTTATTTGCCCATGATCCTGTTGACATCTCTCTCCTGCATTTCCTTCCTTCGTTTCTCTCTTCTGCTTTCCACCTTGGGTGATGCACTGAAGATGAGTGGTTCTCCAGAGGTGAGTGGAGTCTTTTAAGGCGCTTATCGACCTCTAATTTGCATGTATTGTATTTTAGCTCCCCTAGTGTTTCCTTGCCTAACCCTTCCCTGTGGATGCATGTAGGAAAATGCAGTCTTGAAGACCATTGAAACAAGCTTTGCTCTTCTGAGCTAACGGCTCACGGCATGCTATTTCTGAGCAGCAGTTCCAGTTATCAGAATGCAGGACAGTAGCAACAACAGTGGCTGTCCTTACTTTACCTCTTGCTGCCTGCTTTCCATCCTTGTTTCTGCACAACCCCCTGCTGGGGCAAGCTGGGGACCCTGATTTTTTCTTTCTTTTTTTTGCCCCTTTTGATACATCTCTGATCCAAAGATTTTGACTGAAGAATAAAAAAATGCACCAGATGAACTCTTTCCCCTCTTAAACTTTTTATTCCTTCCCCCTCTTTTTTCATTTCCAAAGGGAAAAAACCCACAGAAGATCCAACAAATGATACAGTGGATTTCCCTAAAAGAACTAGTCCTGCTCGAGGTAAACTGTCTTTTCCTTCTCAGTCTTTAAGGGTTCTGTAGACATAGTTCACAGATAAGTATCTGGTGGCCTGTGAGCAGACCTAGCACTGTGTTCATTGTCCTCTCTTCTGTCTGGCTTACACATTTGAAGTGATGGTAAAAGTATTGGGGAGCCTCTATAGTATTACCACAATGACTTAGAAAGGACGGTTGTTATGGCAACTGTTCAGGTTACTTGAGGACGTAAGATCTTTGCTTAAATTCCCTAAGTAGCCACTATGTTCTTGGGACTTAAACCTTAGTTGTTTTAAGAAATCTTGCTGTATCACAATTTGGATCTTTATCTTCATCAATACAGTGAGTTCAAAATTCACAGCTCTCTGTGAATATAAAAATGTTAGATGTTGTTAAATCTGTGATGGGCTCTTTTACTCAGTTGTAGTAAAGGTGGGCAGAATGCCTCAGGTAAATCAAAAAAAGTTCATTTGTGATGAGGAGTCTTTAACTCTGAGTGCTACAATGAGCTAGTGAGTCCCCTGAATGCCGGGCAGCGCCGTGGTAAGCTGGGGGAGAGACGAGGCAAAGAGGGGGCAGAGAGAGGAGTTGCATCTGAGGAGCTGTTATGCTCTTACTGTGATTTAATTATTCTTGAGAAGGCATGGAATCAAGCCTCTGAGTTTGTGGTTGGGTGGGTAAGTGGACATTTAGGGAACATGATGGTATAGGGGCTCAAATCCATCAACCCAGAGTGGTAAGGCTCCCCTTCAGCTGGTCAGTACCTGGTGTACAGGTACTGAGTAGCATCTTCTGTCTTCTCGTCCTCTCTTGTGTAGGCTACGAGCTTTTATTTCAGCCAGAGGTGGTTCGGATATACATCTCACTCCTCAAGGAGAGCAAGACTCCTGCTATCCTAGAAGCCTCAGCTGGAGCTATCCAGAATTTGTGTGCTGGACGCTGGACAGTAAGTATCTTTTAGAGAATGGACTTGGAGGCGGGAGAACTTAACTGACTAGTATGCTGTCATCTGTAATTTATCCCTCCTGTCCCCATGCTATTTGTAGTATGGTCGATACATCCGCTCTGCTTTGCGTCAAGAGAAGGCGCTCTCTGCTATAGCTGACCTCCTGACCAGTGACCATGAGCGGGTAGTGAAAGCTGCATCTGGAGCACTGAGAAACCTGGCTGTGGATGCCCGCAACAAAGAGTTAATTGGTAAGGCATTGGATGAAGCCAGCACCTCACCGTTGCATGCAGTGCATTTAATCCCACTGGTGCTAAACTTATTGAAATTACTGAGAAGGATCCTAGCCTTTCACAGTCTGTGAATCTGAGGGTTGGTTCTTGAGAAGGTTCTTGGAAAGAACCTTTCTTTCCTCGGAAAGAACCTTCTTGAGTGGTTTTTGGAAAGATAAGAAGTGGTGGTTCAAAATATAATTAATAAGCTAATTAGTAAGCATTTGTTTTGTTACTAGGCATTGCCAAGACTTTCTCATTTAACCCTCACTGCTTTACAAAAGTTCATTTCTTTTTTGTAGAATAAAGAGACTGAGGGTCAAGGAAGTTAAGTAATATGCCCAGAGTCAGCGTTAACTAGTAAATAGCAGAGCCCAGTATTTTTTTTTTTTAATTCATGACTATTCTATTGAAATACTATAATAGCCAATAAACTGTGTTCATTAGAACATTTGAAATGACTTTGTAGCATATTTGATATGAAGTACTCACATTGTTTTAGTGTGACTGAGAAGGGGAGAATAAATAAAGGAGTGAGGATGACAGTAAACCCCTGGACTAGTCAGGTTCTTTGTCCTTTTGATATGATAATCCTACAGGAGAATGAGCGTTCATGTGGACAGGACCTACATACTTTGTGTGATCAAGGGAATTAAGTATAGCGTTAGGTTCCTCACACCCTGATTCGGCCTGTTCCTTACACGTTCCTTCTGCCTTACTGCCATAGGTAAACATGCTATCCCTAACTTGGTAAAGAATCTGCCAGGTGGCCAACAGAGCCCTTCCCAGAATTTCTCAGAGGACACCGTGGTCTCTATTTTGAACACCATCAATGAGGTCATCGCTGATAACTTGGAGGCTGCCAAAAAGCTTCGAGAGACACAGGGCATTGAGAAGCTGGTGTTGATCAACAAATCAGGGTGAGCTGAACACTTCAGATGACAGCTGAAAGGGTTTGTATTTGAGGGGACAGTTGTTAGGAAGGAGCTTTCCTTTCTGCTTTCTGAGAGAATTTTCCCTTATTTACATGTGAAATGTGAGGTGATATTGCTCTTTTCTATTTTTATTTTCTGTCTTAAATACTGATCCATAAATTGATAACAGACTTCTATCAAACATCTTTTTTAGTCAGTTTGGGAAAGACACAGGACCTGGTAAATGTTTGATTGTGTCTACTTTCGCATTTATACTCTTTTTTTTTTTTTTAAGATTTATTATTTATTTATACAAGAACTGGGGTACAGGTCAGAGGCGCGGGAGGGTGAGAGAATTCACCAGAGACAGAGTGGGGAGCAGAACAGGCAGACATACTGAAGACACTGCTGAGGGGAGCAGCGGGTGAGGCAGGAGAGGTCTGCTGTGCCATGTGGGTAGCTCCCTGGCCGGCCAGGAATCGAACCCGCGCTGCAGAGGCTGAGGACAGCCCCACAGCGCAGCGCTCAACCCGCTGCGCCACCGGGGAGGCCCCATTTATACTCTTAACGGTACATTATATTAGCAAATTCAGGCTCTCAGTTTCTTCTTTGGTTTTGTGTCAAAATTCCATATGATATTTTTTATCTTCCTCAAAAGGAACCGTTCAGAAAAAGAAGTTCGAGCAGCAGCACTTGTATTACAGACAATCTGGGGATATAAGGAACTGCGGAAGCCACTGGAAAAGGAAGGCTGGAAGAAGTCAGACTTTCAGGTAGAGTGACCCTGCCACTAAGACTTTTACTCTCTCCCTCACTGCTCACTCCCAGGTATGCTTCTGTGTTTGGTTTCTTTTATTTCATGTTACAGTAAGTCTACATTTGACCCAAGTCTCTCTAAAGAAATGACTTGTTTACTCCCCTCCAAAATGGAGTGGTGACAACAGCTCTCCTGCTGCCAAAGCGGCTCTGAGAAAGGCTGACGGCGATGAAGGGTGGTGGCCTTTTTGTCTTTCCCCCAAATCTGCCAGAACCTTTTGAAGGGGTTGGCCATTACCTAAAGGCTGCTGCTGCTTCTGATAGTACAAGTGTTGGTACCTTAGTTATCTCCTGCTCGGAGAAACAAGTGGAAGCCTTAACATTCCAGTGTGTTTCCCTCCTTAGGTCTTTTTTTAACCCTCATGAATTACCTTTTGGTAGAGAGTTGCATTTGGGAGTGGGGGCTTAAAGGTGTGGTGTGCCCCTTAGGGATGAGGTACAGGGGAATTCAGTGCTCTGACATGTTGTACTTCACGTCCGTCCCCAGGTGAATCTAAACAATGCTTCTCGAAGCCAGAGCGGTCACTCATACGATGATAGCACTCTTCCTCTCATTGACCGGAACCAGAAATCAGGTACCGTATCCAGGGCCAGCCTCTCCGCGTTCATCCATCCCTGCTCTTCTTCAGTGGGCTGCCTGTCTAAGAAGTAGAATATATATTTATTTTTTAATGAACCAGGCTTTTGGTAAAGGGGAGTAGTACTTTACCAGGAGTCTAACACAGAAGTTGGTGGGTCTAAGCAAAAGGAAATTAAACAGCCAAGTAGCCTGCGAATTTCTGTTTTACAAATCTCAATTTAGCAAATCCCTTCTCTTTGCTTTTGGACTAAAACAACTGGAAATACAAACTATTTTCTTTATTTGAGGTATAATTGATATGGAACATTGTGTAAATTTAAGATATTCAACATAATGATTAGATCTATATTAAGAAATGATTATTTTTTTCCTTTTAAATTTCTACATAGTACCAAGTAATGTTTGATACTATTGAAAAATTAGTAAATATAGACAACCCGAAAAATAACAGTATCTTTTAAATCCTTTTGTTATTTGAACACATACATTTTTCTCCCCAAAAATGAATCATGTATTTTTATGTGTGAACTGTTTTCTTTTTCACTTAAGGCTATACTCTTATTAATGATACTTGGCTTTTGCCTTGATCAGTGTTCTTAAAATGTGGTCTGAGGATTCCTGTCTGTTGACCTTTGTGTTGATGGTGCAAAATCAGCAGTGCTGGCTCCTGCAGAAGCGGAGCATGACTTAAGGCAGGGCCACCACACCAGGCTAGTCACTGGCATCCTCACGGCTGTGGACTTAGTATGAAAAGAGCCAATTTCACTTAATGTACTTGATGGAGCCTTAAAAATTGATTTTATTCTTTTGATCCTTGAGAATACATCTTTCTAATAGCCTGTGCTGGTGAAATAGGAAATGCCCATTAAGCACTCAGAGCATACGAGAGCATGACACTTGACTTGAGAAAAGAGTGCTTGTGCTGTTGTTTGAATTACTAGTTGGACTAGCCACATTTCTTGAATGGAACACTGTTTTTACTTAGGAAAAATGCCTTATAGACAAACGATAGTTACTCTGACTTAGATGTTCGGCAAACATTTTCTTCAATTTGAATTCAGTAAGTTTGTCACTTTCAGGAAAAACAACTGACGATACTTGTTCCTTAAGTTTGCAAGTGAAATTTGTGTTTTTGGAAAACTTATATCTGTTACTGTAGGCCTGGTAACCTTCCAGTACTTAAAAATGGCTTTTAGAATAACTATAAGAAAGTAAAAATCAAAATCAACAAACAACTATGAACCAGAGACACTCTGTGGGGGATGGGGAAAGGAGGGATTAGGGTCAAAATAAGGGGGTTGCAATTGTATGGGGAATATAAAAATAAAATTTAAATTAAAAAAAAGCTTTTAAATGAGCTCAATGGTGATATTAATGAATGTGATATTTGGATATTGCATAATGAAATGTGTTAGCCTTTAGCAGATCTGGCTAGCTCTTTGAACTAGTATTTTATAAGTGATCAGTGAATGCATGATGTTTCAAAATCATGCAAAGGTAATTGATCCATTCAAGAGCAAGGCAGACAAATGGATTCTAATTTAGAGAGTCAGATTCCACATTGAGGCAACCATAGGGACTCTGCTTGTCGAGCACTGGTATACTGTCAAAGAATATCCACAGTTATTTAAAAGGACTATTAAAATTCTCTTCACTTTCTCAGCTTATCTGTTTAAGACTGAATTTTCTTCATTATATGTAACTGAAATAATATCGCAGCAAGCTGCCTTCTAATACCCAAACTTAAAAGAGCTGTGCAATAAATGAAAATATTGCTTTTAGGATTAAAATTGTTACTTCTGTTAACATGTAATAAGTTTATTGTTAGTTTTAGGGGAAATCTTTATAATTTCTTAATACTGTAAATATTAATACATATAATATCAATGCAAGCTCTTTGGATCCTCGTAATTGTTTAAGACTGTACAGAGGCCTGGACACCAAATAATTTGAAAACTGATGGCTTGGAGTTACAGATTCCTTGAATCCATTCTGTAGGAAAGGGATTTCTTTAAGTACTGTGAGGGCTCTGTCTAGTGCTTGACATATAGGGAGTACTCAGTAAAAAGTTGATGGGAGTGTGGAGGACAGACCAGAGAGCAATTTTTATGAGTATAGACTCTGAAGAGTTGGTTTTTGACTTAAGTAACTTCTGACTTCATATAGATAAGAAACCTGATCGGGAAGAAATTCAGATGAGCAATATGGGATCAAACACAAAATCCTTAGGTAGGTGATTAATTCCTCCCTAAAGGTATGGAGTAATATTTTACTGAGATAAGGACTGTCTGATGGGAACTGAGCCTTACCTACAGATTTTTCTAGCACCGTCCTAGAAAAGCCTTAATTGGACATGTTTATTTGCAAGGATATGAGGAAACTTACTTTTATCTAGTAAAAGTAGATGTGATCTATCTACTTTTATCCATATTCCCACATGCTTAAAATTTAAAATTGGGCCTCCCTGGTGGGGCAGCAGGTTGAGCGCCGCTCGGTGAAGCTGTCTGCAACCTCTGCAGCGTGGATTCAGTTCCCGGCTGGCCAGGGAGATTCCCACATGGCGCAGCATACCTTTCCTGTCTCGCCCACTGCTCTCCTCAGCAGTGTCTTCGGTTCATCTGCATGTTCTGTTCTTGCTCTGTCTCTGGTGAATTCTCTCACCCTCTCGCGCCTCTGACTATATCCCAGTTCTTGTATAAATGCATAAATCTTTAAAAAAAAATTTTTTTTAAATTATATATATTTTCACATACCTCCGTTCATTACTGGAGAGTGGAGTTTATGTTCCTAACCTATTCCTCAGTAGCCTTTCACAGTCTCACCCCAGCCTTTTTGGTTCAGCTCACCTGGTCTATCTGCCATTCTCTCCTCATTCTATACTTTTTGATTTTGCTTCTACTGAAGTGCCCTTCTCCTTTACTTTTCTAAATTCTCTTCACCCCCCCAAAAGCTTAATTGAAGTCCTGTCTCCTTTTGTTTGTTTTTCCAAATATTGCAATAAACCTCACGAGAGTGTTCCTTTTAATTCCAACACCCTTTAAAGACAGGTCTTTAGTTTTTTAAAATATACCATGCTCTGGGTAGTTCATATTTGTTGTCTTCCCCATTAGATTCAAGTTTGTTCTAAGTCAGGGAGTATTGTGCTTTCTGGATCATTTGGCAGAGCTCGGTTCTCATCAGGGATGCCCAGTTCACACTTATCTGCTTACCAGAGGGGAATATCATGTTGCTGTGTACTTTATATGTATTTATTTTTAACTAGATAACAACTATTCCACGCTGAATGAGAGAGGGGACCACAATAGAACACTGGATCGAACCGGGGATCTGGGTGATATGGAGCCCTTGAAGGGAACACCCCTTATGGTAAATTCTCTCTCTCTATTCTTCTTGTAAAGCTAGTTCTGTTTTGAAGCCCTTGTGTTTTGTGAAATAGGGAAAAAATACCTAGTCAAAGACAGCTTCCCTTTTCTGGTAGGGGTTTTCCAGAAAGTAGGAGTTTTGACCCTTGTTGAGATTTCTTGGACCGTTATTCTGCAGTGGTCCGCTTGGGAAAGGAAGCGTAAACACATTGCTGATTTGGGCTAACACTAACCCATCTGTCCTCATGTTATTCTCTTCCTCTTCTCGCTTGTCTTGCCCTTCTTTTGCTATTACCCTGTTTTGTTTGAATTTAATGAACTTGGGGTTTTCCCCTAGATCTGGCACACACCCACAAGGTCCCTATTGCCTTACTCTCACACTAACAATTTGCATGTGTTCACAGCAGGACGAGGGGCAGGAGTCTCTGGAGGAAGAGTTGGCTATATTGGTTTTGAATGGTGAGGGGGACCAGGTGCCTTACCCCCCCATGGTATGTCCTCCAGTCACCCCCAAGATCATCCTTGAGGAAGGAGGCCTCTGTGTGCCAGCCATTTGCCAATCATGCTGATCTGATCAGGCCAGAGACACTAGTCTCAGCCACAAGGGGCTTGAGGGGGCTGCTTCTGTGATTTTGACCTCTTCTAAAGCCTGGGATGTGCAGCTGGTGATATGATTCTCCATTATCTGCTGCTTTCCTTCAACTGTCTTTGGTTGTCCTTGTTCCCAACCTTTATTAACATCTTTTTCTTTTTTTCCCTACAGCAGAAGATTTAACACCACTATCTCCGCTCCATTTGGGCTTATAATATATATACTTTTATTTTTGGTGGTGAAATGGACTGATGATTTTTCTCTTTCTTCGCTGGACTATTGTGCCAACTGCCAGGCTGCCTCCTGCCCTTGTAGCCCCGAGCGGCTGCCTTCTTCCCATCAACTCCTAACTTCTTCCAGTGAAGTTTAATTGTCCCTTCTCCCCCTGCCCCCAGAGCCCCTCCAGTTGTTCCCAAGAAGCCTGACTCAGTCATATGCATATCTTGAGAAACTGCTGCAGATTAGCTCTTTTGCCAGCTCTCCCTGGAACTCTTGGCCTTGTGCGAAGGGAGGGAGAGAGTGGGAGTCTTCACAGGAAGCTGTAGGAAGAATTGGAGTTGCGTGCTGTAAATGCAGTGTCCAGCAATCTGATAAACCGATGATTCATAATCAAGATTTTTTTTTGGGGTGGGGAAGGGACTTTTCATTTTTCTCGGACAATGGGAAGCGTGAGCTCTTCCCTTATCCTAATGACTATTTTTGAAGCAAAGAAGGCCGGCGACATTGGCACATTCCATCTGGCAAGGGCCTGTGAGTAGGTGAAGGTCCAGAACTGAGATTAAGATCATTGCCCTCATCATCTCCAGGGCAGGGATCATCTGGGACCTACAGACTCCATCTCTCCTCCAGGCCTGATGCCGACCCTGGGCTGCTGCTGCCGCCCTGTACTGAGGCTGTCCTTAAACTTCTCCTGCCATCCCATGATAATGTCTGCTGACCTGGCCTGGCCATTTGCAAGATGCTGTAGAAAGGAGAATGTATCAAGGAAGACTTCTTGGGTGAGAAGGAGCAGAGAGATGTCTTCTGGGGTGAAGAACATCTAGGAGGAGCTAGTAGGAATACACATGAACCAGTTAGTCTGAAACTGGCAGGAAGCTTCAAAGCTGACTCCCCCATCCCATTTCTCCTCTTCTTACCCTGACAGCCCCCCGATCCCCTGCTGCCTCCCTGGATTAGTTGGCTGATAAAGGACTTGATGTACATACTCCTGCCCCCTTTACCCCCGAAAGGTGGAGATCGCCTCTGGCTTTGCCTCTTCTTTGTGCCTTTGGCCTGGGATGCATCTCCCCCTTCCCTTCCATGTGCCTTTCTTTGCCTCTGCAGTCTCACTTCTCATGATTTTGCGAATTATATTTTGTTGCTTTCTTACCTATTGGCCCTAAGTTAGCAGAATGGAGAGGTGACCTTGAGAACCTCGATTCTCCTTTGGGAATTGGTATAGTCTCTAATTTCAGCCATACATCGTAACTTTTGCACCACAGTATATGGTTGGGATTTTGCAAAAATCCTGTTCTGATGAATCTGAAAAAGAGCTTGGAGGGAGGAGTGGTGAGTGGTGCAGCTCTCGTTCCTTGGTTGCGCAGAATTGACCATCATCTTTGAAGGGTTGTAGGGAAGTCGTCTTGTCCCCACTCCCACCGTCCAGCCTCCTTTCAATTTAGTGCATATTATTAGCATGCTGGGCTAAAGGATTCAGCTGCTATGCTGGTTGATTTTTTTTTTTTAAAACAAATTTCCTTAGTTGCCTTTGACTCCTACCTTAATCTAAAAGCTCTGTTCAATGCAACTGGAAAGTCTTTATCCTTCTCTCTCCCCCTTCCCTTATATATTGAGGCTATGGGGTAGGAGAAAAGTGCACAACCCACCACTCCCCTTGCCATTGCCCTATGCATTAAAACCCTTACTTACCCTACTCCCCTTCCATTTCTTCCTTCTCCTTTTCTGGCACAGAGGAGCTTGCTTCTCTGTGACCCTGAGAGCATACTGCACAGGGACGTGCCCGTTCCAGACTGACTCCACTCTTGGTTTCTCTTGTCCTCTCCTGCTCTTTTCCTGGTGCTCTTCTCGGTGGGATGTGGGTAATAGAATAGCCATGAGCTTTGGGGAACATTTAACTTTGTTTGTTTATTGGTTGATTTATAAAAACACTAAACATTCAATTCCAGAGAACCAAAAATCCCACTTTCCCACCGTACACTACTAAGGGGCATGTCTCTGCTCCATACCTTTTCTGTTCCCTTCTCTCTTGTTAATGCTTTTAAAAAAATGAGTTTTTTATATAAATAAAGTTTTTAAAGTGTGTATGTGGGGGGTCTGTGTCATTTCTTCACTTCAAGCTGTGTCTCTTCCCCTCCTTTTCATCTTGGTTGCTTACTTATGTATCAGCGTCCTTTTTCTTCCAGAGCCACCGTAAGGTGGTTATACCAGAATGGATTTATTTTGAGCCCAATCCCAACTCTTACCGGCAGCGTTCTTTTTAATTATATATGAAATGTTTTTTTCTCCTGAAGATTCTTAAAAATTAAATGTGGCTAGGCCCTCCCCTGGTGGCGCAGCGGTTGAGCGCTGGACTGCGAAGCTGCCTGCAGCCTCTGCAGCGCCGGTTCGATGCCCGGACACTGGCGAGGGTCCCACATGGCGCGACAGACCTCTCCTGCCGTGCCTGCTGCTCCCCTCAGCAATGTATTTCATCAGTCTGCCTGTTCTGTTCCCTGCTCTGGCTCTGGTGAATTCTCTCACCCTCCCGAGCTTCTGACTGTAACCAGTGCTTGTATAAATAAATAAATATTAAAAAAAAAATGTGGCTAAGCGGACCACAGGAAGCATACTGCTAACTTAGAGAGATAGGAAGCTGAAGTATGAAGACTTAATGACTTCCTTAGTCACTGGGATTCTCTTGCAACATTTGACTAAACTAATGTTGACCAAAGCCCATCTCAGTGCATGGCCTTCTAACATTCATGGGTGGTGACTAGAAGCCACCACCTCCTACTGCCATCCTAATATGAAAATGTAGAATAAAAAGGCTCACGTAGGTAGGTACTGAACGCTGGGCCGTAACGGTGTTTCCTAGGCTGTCTGCAGTCTCAGAAAGAAGACAAGGACCAGGCCTACAGCTTCCTGAGTGTCCTACCAACTAATGTGTGGGTGGGTGGCAAATATTTGTTGGATTACCAGGGGTTGACTTCACTGCAGAGGCCAAGGGTTAAGACCTTTGGAAAGAGATTGATTTTTCCGCTGCTTGAATTTCCTGTTAAATGATGAAAAAACTGGAGAGTTTATCTAAAATGCTTTCTGTATGCCCAAATCGTTTAGATTAAAATTGTATAGCTGCTTCTGATGGTGCTCACGTCTCAATTTTGTTGAAATAGGTCTTGGGTATGAAAACTCGGGCTGGTGAGACTGGAAATCCAAGCATCAGAGCTGATGACATTTGAAGCTTGATTTGTGCCGACTGGTTGTACTTTTAGTCTAGAAGGATGAAGCACAGAGCCAAAATGTGATTAGAGTGTGCTTTCCAGAGAGTTCTGCAGCCACACTTGAGAAGGTTCTTATCTGACCACCCCAGGGGAATAGCCTTTGTTTTTGTGCTAGTTCCTAATATCCACTGGCACTGAGCTCTCCACAAGCCTTATTCTCCCCTCCCTGGATTGGCCCCTTCATTTCATTTCAGTAGATAACACAGCATCCTATCCGGGAGGCTTTGTGGAGGTTTGGTTTAGATGGGAGAATGAAACAGGTGGCCCCTTTTGTGCAGAGGTTGTGATTTGTGAGTCCTACATAGCTAAGGCTATGTCTTGGGGTCGTTTAGAAACGTTTCTCCTCTGCCCCTGCCCAGAATGAGGCATGTTCAGCAATGATCTGGGAAATCCTCTTAAGTGTCTAGACACTGAATTTGAAGCCTCTTAGTGTCTCTTAGCTTTGCGCAGTGGCAGTATCGTAGCCAATGAGGTTTATCCGAGGCATGATTATTGCTAATTGAAAACTTAGTGTCTCTCATACCAACTTTAGGACTGCTGTGCATTAATCAAGATTTGCCCAGCCACTTCCCGATGCTTGAGCGCCCGGGTTTTTCTGCAGGTGGTTATGGATGTTGCTTAGCTCCTCTTGTGCTTTCTGGTGAGCTTGTCTGAAATAGCTGTGATGAGTCTGGCCATGATGCTTCCTGGCAGCTCCCAGCAGTAACCCGTTTGGCCACTTTTCTTTCTTGCTGATAGAACACACTTTGTCACAAACTGGAAATACCTCACTCAGGAAGAAGGGAGAATCAGTCTTCCTCGATCGCTGTTTCTCATTTTGTCTGTTTATGTCTGAAAATAGGATAGGATTATTTTCATATAAATAGATGATGTCATTTTTGGAATTGCTGGGTTTGGAGTGCAGGGTCCTCAGATTCACTCTGGCATAGGACCACCTTGACCTAGCCTTAGAGAGCTGAACAAACACGCTTACCCAGAAAGGTGGTTAAAAATGTAGACTCTTGGGTTCCACTTCCAAAACTTGATTCAATAGGTAGGAATCTGAAGTCTTCAGGAATCTTAAGTCTTAAGTCACTGAGGTTTTCTGATGCCTGTGGTCAACTAATTACAACTTGATACACTGATTTAGTGACTTGCTTAAGCTTCCAGCCTCAACCTGGAATCCAGAGTGACTGCCAGCTCCGTTGGCAGTGGTGCTAGTTTCCTAAAGGGTGTGGTTATAACCCAGCAAGGGGAATTCATAGAGGAACATTTATCTCAAAGAAATAGTTGCTTATTGTAGAATTTGAGATAATGATAGGTGGGTATGTAGGATGTGGTAGGAGGAGAAATTTCTTATCCTGCAAATCCGGTAGTAGGAAATGCCCAGGCTGTCGAGAGGTGTGGACAACCCTCCCTGAATGTTCTCAAAGATACAGAGAATGCCCTGGAGTTGTTGACTCTGACTAAAGTCACCTCTGGCAACAAAGGGTACCTCAACTGGGGAGCAAGTGACCCCACTGGCCAAAGCCAAGGAGGTGTTCCTGAAAATTTAAATTTCTTAAAAACGAGACAAACTACCTCAAGAAAGTGCAATAAAGTAAAAGATTGTAGGGACCTAATATCTTTGGCATTTAACCTTATGACCTCATGCTTTCCTGACGTCTGTTTGCTTGGCTTAAAGCATTGATTCTTTAGCTGCTCCATCCAGAATTGAGGGATGGACATGGGAGGAAAGAAAACTGGAGGAAATAAGGTAGGGAAATAATAGAAAATAATGAAAATAACCATTTTGATCTGTCTGCATTATTGTATCCTGACTTAGGTTTTCCTCTTACATGGTAAGAGGATGAGCAGGGCCAGCTCTCCACAAATGGATGTTCAAGAGCTTTATTCCCGTTATGTAATTGTTGGAGCCGTAAGCATTACTGTGAGCACATGGCAACTAGGTTTTCGCTTTATTTTCACCTGAGGAAAATGTACTATGCTTTTCTCCATGTGTCTTTATTGTGGGAAAGTTTCTTCTGCTTTTACTGAGGATAGAGACAGGATTGCTGTTGTGCTGTTTTTCCCTAGATTATGTCTAGAGACCCATTCATCTGCAATGCCATTTGTGCTGAAGGGAAGAAAAAAGAAATAGGAGTTATCCTGGTGATGTGCCAGGCACTCCCTCTATCCTTCACTGCAGTCCTTTCTTCCTCCATCTTCAAAGCATGGTTAGCACTGATGTTTGAAGACTCTGACCTCTGGGCCTTTTTACAACCTATTTGTTGTGGGAAGAAGGCGTGGAGATATGTGCATTTTGTATATAGTTGAAACTAATTCAAGCTCCTGTTTTTGGCATTGTGGTGGGTTGGGTGTTCTTTAAAAAGGCCTTTCAACAGAAACAAGATACAAGATAAAAAGGATTAAAAAACATGTTTCTGAACAGTCACAAAAGAAATCCACAGATCTTCAAAATGAAGTCTAAACTGGAATCCTAAAGGTAGCTTTACTTAACTTTTGCCAAATTCAGCAGACCCCGGATGTCTGCTTAAGTGATTACACAACGTGTGGAAATGAGACCTGAGGAAACTCGCAGGCGACTCCAGGGAAGCCGGGACACCCTCCATGTGGACGGGAATGCGTGATGTGCTCCTGGTGGGACAGCGAGGGTTTTGTCTCAGTGTTGGTACCGGATGGGAGGAAGCATACAGTCTCTTCCCTGAGAATTCACAGCCACAGGGTGGCCTTCGGTGGGTTTTCAGCCTCAATTTACACTACCTGGGTGGCCCTAGAAATCTGGGGAGTTTAAAGTGACCCTGTGTGGTCATGTCTCCAGGTGTTTTTCAGAAACAAATGCAGTTCTCTGAGGCTTCAAAACAGTTCCCACAGATAACTTCTTGCAGCCTGTTGAAAAAGTCTAAGATGCAGTCATGTACCACTAGTGGGGAAGGCCCAGAGCGATAGAAGCCGACCATAAATGCTTTCGATGTTGACACGGTCACACACGACTGAAATAGCTTTTTGATTCGTGAACTGGGGCATGTTTGAAAAGAAGAGATGATAAAAGCCAATCCAGTATATTAAAAATAGAGTCTTTGAATTAGAAATGAGAAATACAAATTTGAAATAAGAACTTGATGGATTAAATAGATTATTGAAATTGAATGGGCGCTAGTAAATTGGAAGAGCATTCTCAGGAAATTATCCAGGATGCCGTCCAAAGGAGAAAGAAGAATGGAAAATAGTTGAGGATCATGGACAACAGAGGACAATAGGATGAGCTCTAATGTACGTTATCTGGAGCTCCAGGAGGAGATAATAGAAAGGAAGATGAAATATGCAAAGAGAATGCATGATACTTTTTTCAGATTTGCTGAATGATTCCAAACCTCATATTTAGGACTCCAAGTACATTTTGAGCAAGATAAAAAGCTACGCGTCTCTTGAAACTTGAAGGTGAAATGCAGGGACCAAAGGTCTCCACCAGTTAGAGGGAGTACAGACTGCCTATAGAACACAGGCCTGAGGGGTGACATCGGCATGATGGCCTGGAGACAGCGGGACCCTAACCCTTCTGTTACCAACATAAGAACTGTGGTGGAAATTGACTGCAACTTTCTTTTTTTAAATGAAAGAAGGCTAATTAACATTTTCAGGCAAAAGCAGAATTTGCCACTCAGAAAAGGTAACTGTGCCCTATATCCTTGAGGCAGAAGGAAAATGATGGGAAGATTCGTGCAAGGAGGAACACTCAGCTATGGTACTGGTAAATAATGTTGGTAAAAGTAAGTAATCATTAACTTCAGCAGTGTGTAACTGTGGGTGGGAATAAGGACTAGGATGAAAATACTTAACAAAAACATTTAAGTTGGAGTAGTTAGAACCGTCATTTTCGTGTTCTTATTTTCAGGAGAAAGTAAAGCTATTGGTTAACATGACTTTTTGTGCAACTAAATACCCATAGTAACTGGGATAACCAGTGGAATACACTGAGCACATAAATGTAGAGAGGAAAGAAGACGAGAGGAGGGCATGGAGTTTTCAGCGGCAGCTGCCTGTGATGGAAGGCGCTAAGTTGCCCGGGTGCCAAGAGGAGGGGCTGTGTCTGTCCCAATCCAGGGACACACAGTATGTGGCAAGTGAAATAGGTGTGTGCAGAGAAACAGGTGTTAGGAGGGCCGAGAACAGGTCCCAGACAATTCCCATGAAAGCAAAGTTACAATTTTAATAAAGTATTTGCTGCCTCATACTGAGTTGGTCAGCCTGACTTAAAAGGTCAGGATAGAATATTTTCCTATCTTGCTGGCTAAACAGGCAACTCTGAGTACAGTCTTCTTCCAGTGCCTCTCCAATCCTAGTAGAACTTGACCCCACATGGAGCTCAGTTAAGACTGGAAACTGCCCTTTGACATGAGGGAGATCTATTTAAGGAACTACTGGCTTTGGAGTACAAGAGGTCAAGGGAGCAGTGAGCTGTCTCTAGCTCATCTCTGCATCCGTTCCTAGGTTCTAGGAGGGACTATCTCAGGGACATTGATACAAATTTTTGGATTGTAATGATACATTTGCAATAGAAATTTCTTTCTTATGATCTGCCTAAAGCATATGCCTTAAGTCAGCAAGGCATAGATTTTATTCTATTTTGTAAAGATTTTATTTATGCTGACAAGAGATGCGGGGAGTGAGAGAATTTGTCAGACACAGTGGGGAGCAGAACAGGCAGATCCACTGAAATACGCAGCTGAGGGGAGCAGCGGGCAAGACAGGAGAGGTCTGCTACGCTATGTGTGTCAGCTCCCTGGCCTTTGATGAAACTCAGGCCAGCCACAGTGGCTGGTGATAGCTTGATAGCACTGAGACTTTAACCCCTGCACTACCATGGAGGCCCAAGGAATAGATTTTATCTGGCGCATAATGTCTTCAAGTGCCTACAGCTTTTATTTGTCATTTCTGTTTGCTGGGGGTTAGTGCCACTGAACTAGAGCTCACAGGTTTCCAAAATGATACAGAACTCAGCACTAAATATAGACTCTGGAACCAGACCATTTGAAGCCCTCACTCTCTTGCTTACCTGTGAAACCTTGAGCATATTTCTTATGCTTTCAGTGCCGTTTGTCATATGTAAGGTGGGAATAATAATAATGCCTATATGTAGGGTCTTTATGAATATTAAGATGATGCATGAAGCTGCATGTGAAACTGGTACATAGTAAAAATTTTAATCATTTCATGATTTTGTCAACGCCAGGTATTTCTCTTCTGCATATATGGATATATAATTTGTTTATCTGTATCATCATTCTGCTCAGTGTCTGTATCTGACTACTCAGGGATGGTTTCAAGGGCAACCCAAAATAACAAAAGCCTACCTGTCCAAGCCGTGGGTCAGGAAAGATGGCAGCGGCCACTCAGTGGGTACTTAGGCCTCTTTGGTCCAGACTCTGTGCCAGGTGCTTAAATAAGCTAGCACTTTTAGAAATGACCCTATCAGGAGTTCATGCTGTGGGCTTACTTTGTGGCAACACTTCAGGCTAGGAGTGCTTGTGACAAAGCAGAGGCGTCTGTGTCAGAATGGGAGAGGACATCCTCAAAGACATCCAGGTTTTTCTGTAAGTCTGAAACTCTGAGACTTAAAGAAGCAGTCTTTATGCACAGCCCGGAGAGCAGGGAAGGGATTTAGTTAAAGAATGGATTAAGGTGTATTTACTAAGTAGCTTGAAGAGAGAAATTCAGTGAAGATAGCTCTTGTCCTCAAGGAACTTCAGGTAAATGAACCCTAAAAGCAAAGGGTTTTTTAAGCAGTGACGTGGCTACATCAATGGCTATAGAGGCTAGAATGGAGAGGTCGATGAGAGGAAGCTGCAAGATTCTCAGCAAGAGATGATGATGGCTCAATCATAGTGTAGAGGACAAAGTTTATCAGCTTTAGGTCTATTCAGTATTGATGGCAATTTTAAAAAAAGATTTACTTATGCATACAAGAGCTGGGGTACAGGCCAAAGGTGTGGTAGGTGAGAGGATTCACCAGAGACAGAGTGGGGAACAGAACAGGCAGACTGACCGAAGTACACTGCTGAGGGGAGCAGCAGGTGAATCGAGAGGCCTGCTGAGACATGTGGGTTTCTCCCTGGCTGGGGATTGAACTCGTGCCGCAGTGGTTGCAGATAGATTCATAGGCTGTCTCTTAACCCCTTGCACAACCAGGGAGCCCCCCTTGATGGCAATTTTAAAGCTAGTGTTTAGTGCTTCCTATGTAAGCACAAAAAGTGTTTTGAATATGTTGACATCTGATTTTCACATCAACCCCACGAGGAAGGCAGATGACGTGAACAGATACAGTATTTTGGGGCCAAGCTTTTGCTCAAGGCTTCAGATGCACTATTCCTGTTTAATATTTACTACCCCTCTGACCATTGGCGTCTGACATGAAATCTTAGAGCAGTTAAGTAACTTGCCTGAGGTTACACTGTGGCAAAGGTCAGACTTTGACCAGATTTGTTTCATTCTAAATCCTGTGTTTTAAACTACTAACCCAAAGTGCTTCCAATACTTAAAAGGTGGCACTGGTAGAAAATCAGATGAGGGTGTGTGGGTCACTTGAGGGTGTCTGGTTGGTGTCAGTAGGAAATAGCAAGCAGATAAGGCAGAGTTGGATGGGAAACTTTTAGTTTCGAGTGAGACTTCACAGTGAAGTATCCAGTGAGCAGGAGGATATGTAGGACCGGAGCTCCAGAGAGGCCTCTCCCTCTGCCCGTGGGTGATACTTCAAGCTCTGGGCATATCTGAGCTGGCCCAGGGAGTGCTAGTGTGAGAAGAGTGGAAGGTTTAGATTTAAATCCAAATTAAAGAAGGGAAAGAGGATTCTGAAATCGAGGCCTAAAAGGACAAGAGGGTTTTTTCCTAGATGCTGGTGATGTCCCTGGGGCGCAGAACTAGAAAACTGGCTTTATGAACACCTTTTAAAAAGAAGCCTACAGGGCTTCCCAGTGCAGAGATGTCTCTAGAAGCAAATAAAGTAGGGCTTGCTTTGCGCTGTCTTCAACTTGAGAAGATGTGTTTTTCTTCTGATCTTCCTAGAGTGTTGTTTGGATCCTGTTCCAAGGTCTGGAAACCTAACGTGATAGGTTCAGTCTTCTTTTTTTCCCCTAAAGATTTATTTTTATTTATGCTTACGAGTACTGGGGTGTAGACCAGAAGTGTGATGGGTGAGAGCATTAACCAGAGACAGAGTGGGGAGCAGAACAGTGTACTGAAATACACTGCTGAGGGGAGCAGCGGGTGAGTCAGGAGAGGTCTGCTGTGCCATGTGGGTCAGCTCCCAGGCTGGCGATCAAACTCATGTTGCAGTGGCTGCTGATATCTTGATAGCACTAACTTTAACCCCTGTGCCACCAGGGAGGCCCCATCTGGACCTTTATAAAAAAATTTTTTGTAGCCAGTGTGGGGGCCCAACAGCCTATTGCCTCAGGCGACCAGGAAGTAAGTGTGTTGTGTGTGTTTGTAGGTGGGTGGGGGTTGGGTGTGTGTGTGTGTGTGTGTATGTGTGTGGAGGTGGGTGGGGGTTGGGAGGGGGCTCTAGCCGGCCTGTGGGGAGGAGTAGACATCCCCTCTGGATGGTTCAGTCTAGCAAGCTCCTCACCCCACCTCCCCAGAGCATTTGGAAATAAACTTTTACTCTGGAAATAAACTATTACTCTGTGCCCCCGGGGCAGAGATGCTAAGCACCCACCCTTCCCTTCTGAGGGACACAGGAAATTGTGACTTTCCACTCTTGTTTCACTTGAAGACAGGGCTTGCTTCACCTGCCACCGCCAGATGTGGTGTGAGGGTAGACAGGAAGTGGGTGCAGGTGTGCTGAGTTCTAGCCATTTGAGAGCCGCAAACTGCTTCCATTTGTCACGGAGTGGATTTCCCTGGCTGGACTGATTCTCACTGTGGTCTTTGTGGTTTTGAGGAACAGGTCCTGTGCTCTCCTCTCGATCTGGTTAATGTCTGATTGGACACTTGGTAACTTAGCTCTGGTTCTCTGGTAGGTAGGGGCCCAGAATCGCATCACTTATCTAGAGTTGGTCACCTCCTTGCTGGTTGCTTTGTAGCTTGCAGTATACAAAATGTCACTTAAATGAAACTAACTTTTTTTTTTAAAGATTTATTTATTTTTATACAAAGCTGGGGTATAGGCCAGAGGCGAGGGAGGGTGAGAGGATTCACCAGAGATAGAGCGGGGAGCAGAACAGGCAGACGACCGAAATACATGCTGAGGGGAGCAGCGGGCGAGACAGGAGAGGTCTGCCACACCATATGGGGGTCTTCCTGGCCATCTGAGAATCGAACTGGTGCTGTAGAGGCTGCGGACAGCTTCACAGTGTTGTGCTCAACCCGCTGTGCCACTGGGGAGGCCCAAAACTGACTTTTCTAAAGTGAAGTCTGGACTCCATTAGAATTTCATTCACCCTGCAAATATTTGTTCAATGACACTTCGGCTGGGGCCAGAGGCCATTCCTGTCCTTAAGGAGCTCCAGTCCGGGGATTACATTGATGGGTCAGCGAGGTAAGCATTATTCTAATGATACCTTCTTAGCCGTCTGCCAGGAGGGAGGGCAATGCTTCACTGCCAGGTGACGTGTAGGTTGGCATGAAAAGGTGACTAAGGTTCCAGCAACTGAGGGAGATGTGAAGTCACGCTGGTCAGATGGTGCCAGGTGTGGGAACCTGGCTCACTGGGTGCCTTGGTGAATGAGAGGGAGTTTCTGCTGTTAAGTGAAGGGGGATTGAAACAGGACAACGCCATGTTAGTAAACAGAGCTTAAGCCTTGAGCATCAACAGGTGTTAACGTCACGCAGAGATACCGCTTACGAAGTTCCTTTGCAGACACGCACATCAAGCCCGAGTGTTCAAAGCTCTAGATCTAACTGCTATTTGTAGGAAACAGAGGACTCTGGACAGGCTAAACCACGTCATGGGGACGCAATTAGCAAAATGACAGGTTGGGGGATTACAAAACAAGTTAATGAATTCATCGCAAGAAGGAAAAAGGAGACCGGTAGATTATGAAGAAAGACATCAATCTATACTAAAAGAAAAACCACTTTCAATGCCTGCGTCGTCTTTGGATCCTAATATAATAATTTCATAATTGGATATTTGAATATTTCTAAGGGGTGGTATATTTCAGAAGCAACAGAAATGTTCTGGGTCATAATTAATTTCTTGTCAACTTGAGCCGTGTGATGAAATTTTGATGGATAAAATTATGAGGAAGTTTGCTTCTAAGTAGTGTGGGTGAGAGCAGATGAGGGAGAAAGATTGACTTGGAGCCGGTAGTCACAGAAGCTGGGGTATGGGCAGGAGATTTATTATAACATTCCACCTGATGTTTCCATCTATTTGGAATTCCCTGTAATAAATTTTTTTTTTTTAAGTGATGAAAGCCAATCCTTCCAGGCAGCTGAGGCCCAGGGCACATAGACAGCTGTGGGAAAGAAGTGGGGCAAGAAGCAGGGGCAGGGGCCAGCAGGGTGCTTGGGTTAGTGTAGTGGGGCAGCCAGGTGCAGGGCAGGCTGGGGGTGGTGGGGACGGGAGGCACTGGAGGCAACAGAGCCTCCCAGCCTCCTTTGTTGGAATCTCCGTGCTCTGTCTCTGGTCTTGCTGCATTTGTAGCCTCGCTGCTTGTCCTCTCGTAGCCATCCCCTGTCTGGGGGATGCCGCCCTTATAGCCCGGCCTCCAGGCTCAGGTGTGCCCACACACCCATGCTGCAGGTATGCACCATCAGGCACAAGTGCCCGACCATCAACACGGTCGAGGCCACAGATGCTAGCCACAGAGGCTCGTGGCGTAAAAAGCTCGATGAATTCACTTACCCTGCACCCATGCAGGGACATGGGCCTGGCGGTGGTGCCGCTGGCAGCCACGAGGAGGGGAGAGCCCGGCTGCCCACACGTGTTAACAGAGGGTGGCTTTGCTTCTAACTCCTCCGCTGAGTTGGGCTTCTGAGTGATATTGTCACTCAGAACTGGGGCTTTAAAGCATTTCCCTGCCCACTGGGGCAAGTTAAATATTTTAAAGCATAGAAAGTTAGAGGGAGGGAGGTCAGCTGAGAGACTATTCTGCTGTCTTAAATAAATGAGAACTGGGTTTGGACAGGAATTTAGCTAATAAGGATTTGGCCTTTCATGATATTGTTTGTAATAGTTGTTTCCCAGCCACAACCCTAGGAAGAGCACCATGATGCTCCCCTAATATGGAGCTTGGGGGGGACCCAGCTCCCTTTAGCCTGTTCTTGGCAGGGTGCCAGGACAACCCAGGTCCTCCCTGCTGCAGTCTCTTTGGGCAGCTTCTAGCCTGGTCCCCATGTCCGCAGCACGTGGGGAGGCCGGGAGGCCAGTGCCTGTTGAGGCTCAAGCCGCCCGTCTCAACTCAGCTGCCTGGATATTAGGCCCCTCGGCCCACCCATGAGTGCTCTAGCTTCTTCGAGCAGCTTGAACTGCTAGCCAACCTTCCTCCCCCGGGGCGTCTGTCCACTCTGGAAAATCTGCTGACCGTCCCTCCCATTACTCCCCCTAGGAGCCAGTGTCCCTGACCCTGTGCCTTTAAGCCACACGGACACACACCCACGGCGGCTGATAAAATCAAGCTATTAACATTCCAGACCCAGGGGTGAGGATTGTTCAGCCACATCCACCTCTGACTTGCTCTGGGCTCCCTCCTGGTTCAGCCGGTTTCTGATGGGCTGGCTCTGGGCGTTCAGTCTTGCCCTCGCCCTCCTGCCCTCCTGACGTGATGCCTGAGTGAGGTTTTCTTAGTTCTAGCGTTTTCCGCATTCATCGCGACGGTTGTTAGCCCTCTTCAGTTAGGACATTCCTTGGGAATCTAGCAAACATTTCTTCCCAGAAAAATGTGCACACACAGTATTTTGTCTACAGTTTCAGGGTTGTGCATTTTTTAACGCATCGGGAAGCCTTTTGTTGAGGGTGGGATGGGCGGGGGTGTGGGGGAGGGTTGCTCAATAAAATGCAGCGTTCTTGGCTGGACCTACTGGATCGGGATTTCTGGCAGGAAAGCCTAGGAAGCAGCCATCTAAACATCTCCCTGTCCTCTCCAGCACGCTAAGATTGAGGAATTCTAGCGACTCCGCTTATCTTCACAGTCTATTTCATCTTCCCTCTCCAGCCACTTAACTGGCTACGGGGGTTCAAACTCTGGAATCCTGGTCTTCTTTCAAAGAAAATATCCCGTTCCTCTGGGGCTGTAATGAAGCCCTGTCCTGAGACGTGCCAGGGGGCCTGACAGTGGGTGCGGGTCTTTCATTTCCTGCCACGGTTGTGAATTTAGAGCCAAGTGGTTACCCAGAGAGCTGCCCTCCCCTCCTCTGGTCTCTCATCAACTCTGCTTTCACCTCCTGTCACCCCCCACCTCTCCTGTCCTGGAGATGCGAGGTGAGAGGTCCTTGCTTTGGGTGTTGGCCTCACCTCAGACGTAGTCTTCCTGAGGACATCCTGTGGTCCAGGCAGAAGGCCGGAAAGTGGGGTACAGAGGTGCTGCAAACAGGCTTGTGGAGTTCAGCCTACAGGCTAGCTTCCCTGGAGTTCAAAACTGATGACAGCATGGAGAGGTCATTGTGTAACATCCTTTCAATTGCTTTTTATTGGCTATAAAAATTTTAAATGTAATGATTGAAAATAATTTAGAAAGTGCAGGTTTTTGTTGTTGTTTTTTAAAGCAGAAGACAGGTAGCCCATGTAATGCTGGACCTGCCACCCAGAGGCGACCACTATTAACAATTTGTTATCTTTCCACCAAGCGTGTTGCTATAGTTTTTTTTTTTTTAAATACATGATAGAGTTTATATAATAAAAATAGCAGTTACTTCTTTCTCTCATTTAACATTGCTTTAAAACATTTCCTAGTTAATTTTTTCCCATGGCTGCATGATATTTAATCAAATGGATATGCCATTATTTATTTAACTTTGGCTCAGTTGTCGGACACTTAGGTGTAATATTTATGTACAGTATTATAACTATGCTATAATAAATATTTTTGTGCTAAGTCTTTGTCATCTGGATTATTTCCTTAGGAGAGGAATTGCTGAGTCAAAGTTGATGAACGTGTTTACGACTCTTGATGTACCGTGTATTTTCCAGAAAGTCTGGGTCCATGGGGGTCTGGCTGACCATCCTCAGAAGTGGCCCTCAGAGCAAGTTGCCTCAAAGGTTTTGTAAGCAAGGTTTTAAGGCAGGGTGAGTAGACAGGGCTGACAGGAGAGGAAGAAAGGAAACCGCCCTCTTCTGGGACCGTAGGAGGGATGTCTATTTGTGAGTACTAGAAATACAGCTTCTCAGCCCTGTACCACTTCCTCTCAGAGACTTCAGACCTGAGTAAAAATTAGGACAGTTTTGGACTCTGAACCCCAAACTGATTTGCTATTAGTTGTCAAGCCCTGGGGGGGCGGGGGACTTGCCTCCTTTTCTCTTATTCTTT